CCGGGCCCGCTGGCACGGCGAGCCGAAGCCTCCCGAAGCGAGCGCGTGGCGGCTTCCTGGGTGGGAGCGAGGTGCGGGCGCGGAGAGGGCTCCGGGGCGACGCGCCTTGCGGGACGTGGGCTCGGGGGCGCCCCGTTCCTGGCCCCAGGCGGCCGGGAGCACAGTGACCGCTGAAAATGAAAGCGGCTGGACTCGAGAGTGGACGGCCCCCGACTGTGCCCGGCTGGAGGCTGCTGGGCACCGCCGTTCCGCAGGGCCGCGGGGTGCGGACGGATCCGGGCCCTTTGGCTGGGAGGTTGGTGCGCCCCGGTCTCCTGCAGCTCCGTCTTTTGAGCTTGGGTTGCGGCTTCCCCGTGGCAGGGCTGTGGGGCGGGGAGCCGCGACCCTCACCTTGAGCTGGCCCCGGCTGTCCCCGCACAAGGGACGTGGCCTGATTCCACCGCTGCAGGCCTAGCGCGGAGTAAACGCCACTGTCACCGGCGCTGAGACCAGTGAATAATGCGGGTGAGCCCTCTGCCTGGCGCAGTCTGAAAGCAGGGCCGCCCAAGGAGGGGCTTCCCGGGCCCGGGGCAACTGTGGGGTGTAGAGACTGAGCGTGCTGCTTACCACGGGTGACCGGTCTCTGCAACGCTGCCTCAGTCAGTGTCACTTGTGAGAAAGCAGAAGTTTAGTCTTAAGCCACATCTTCAAAAAGTGAGACATACTGTTTTTTGTTTCTTGGGTTTTTCTTTGTCTTTTTGAGACAGGGTCTCGATATGCAGTTCAGGCTGGCCTTGAGCTCACTTTGTAGCCCAGGCTGATCTCGAACTCGCAGCAGTCCTCCTGCCTCAGCCTCCCAAGTGCTGGGATTACAGGCGTGCGCCACCACGCCTGGCTAAAAGTGAGACATAGTGAGTAGGGAAAGAATTGTGAAAGGTCAGCTAACCTCAACACAAGTTGAGTATTTTTGTTGGAATTCCTTTGTATAGATTCAATTCTGCTGCTATGGAAACATTTCCAAATTAGGCCGTGGCTTATCCCTGAAGTGGCGATGATAGTGGCGCAGACAGAGACATAGACGGTCACCATGCTCACATATTTCTTAGAATGTTAGGAAAGTCAGTTTTGCATACACCAACGTGGATTTCTTTCATACCTCGTACAGTCTGTGGGCCCAGTGTGTTTTATTAAGGGCCACAAACTTGTTGAAGATAAAGCCCGGAATCTGGCCTCTCTGTGGAGCTGGTTATAGGGGGCCCATTCTCTGCTCACAGAGCGGATGCCGGTGTGGGTGAGGAAGCGTAAAAGCTGAGCACAGCCGCAGCTTGCAGCGTGGTGAGAGTGTCTTGGTGGCGGCTCTTTCTCTGAGTGAGTGACCCCGACGTCGGGCCACATGTGTGCCCTGGGGCCAGCTTTTCTTCGGGGCTCTTTGTCATTCTTCCACACTCTGTCCTTCACTCACTTTTTGCCCTATGTGCTGCTGAAGGCAGCCAGAGGGTGCATATTTGGTAGTCTGTGTGTGGAGCATCTGGTGGTTCCAGCTAGTTTACTGTAGGTGACCCTCACCTGGGCAGGATGGATGTGCTCAAGTCTGGGCGTGTGGGAGTGGAGCTGGCCAGGGCAGCAGGCACTGACCTGTGGTGCAGATCTGCGTGAGTTTCCTGACTAGACCTTCCCAGGTGGGGGCTGAGACATGGAGTTTGGCCCCAGATGGGGGTGCTGCTAGGTAGCTTGTGGGCTGAAACCCCTGTAGGTGCCCCGATTTCCCTTGTGACGGGGCTACAGCAGCTGAAGGAAGTCCTCAGGCCCAGGGTAAAGTCGGCAGGTATGTGTTCACATTTGGGGGCTGAGCGCCAGTGGGGCCCCGTAGGAAAAGGCATGGTGGAATGGGACCAAAAGAGCTAGTATCAGGGTTTTTTCCTTCACATTTTTGTGAACTGTATTGAGGTATAGTTGAAGCTGTGGTGGCACACGCCTGTAATCCTAGCATTCGGGAGGCTGAGGCAGGAGGATTGTTGTGAGTTAGAGACCAGCCTGGGCTGCAAAGTGAGCTGAAGGCCAGCCTGAACTACATAGCAAGACCTTGTCTCAAAAAGACGAAAAATAAAAGCACACTCCACTGTCCATATGTAAAATGTGTGCCTGATGAGTTTCGACCTCGATTTCTACCTCTGACCATGACTACACTCAGGATCCATCCCCCACAAGGAAGCAGTTCTTCAGTGGTGACAGCTCCTAGAAGCCTTGGTGGCCTTAGACAGCCCACCCTCTGGGCCCACTGTCCTGGGGTCCGCATGGTAAAATGCAGTGGGAGAGGGAAGAGGTCCTGCCCAGATTTGCAGTTTTAGGCACTTCCTCATGCCAGCGAGCAGAGCAACTGTCCTTTAGAGCATGCAGACAGGGGCTTGGTAAGAAGACCTGGGTAGGTGATCCCGAGTGCTTAGTACAGTGGTGAACAGCTCAGAAGATCATTGCGTTGTTGTCGTGACAGAAATGATAGAAAATGAAACCTGGCAGATTTTAGGGTTACACAGAGGCTGGTGTGAGAAGCATGCCAGAGATTTGGGTTAGAGATGGTCTAATACCAGTGAGGAGAAGTGTATTCTTACATTTTGGTCTTGGGGTCTTTCCCTCAAACCACAGGTCTGTGCTTAGGTCAGGTTTCAGCTGGGAAATTTAGGTCGTTTTCTACTGAAAATACCAGAGTGATATTGAAAGAAAATGGTGTTAACATAAGGAAGGAAATTACGGAAATGCGGGTGACTACTTTCTTGTCATCACCCAAAAAATTTCCAGAGCAAAGTAGGAGCCTGAGATTAGTGGGAGTTGATGTAAGAAATAGAAGATAGTTTCTTGAAGATCTTTGTACCCATTAGAAGTTCGGCCCCCTCCTGTGAATGGTGGCCCTGGTGACAGTGATGTGTCTGCTCCCCAGTGGTGACAGGAGCTGCTCAGGTGGAGGGTATTGTTCTTAGGGACAGGGGCATGGATATCAGGGAGTCTCTGTGCCTTGTGGCCCAACTACCAAGAGCCTAAAACTCCCTGTATGGCCCAGGCTGGTCTCAAACTTGCAGTGATCCTCCTGCCTCAGCCTTTGAGTGATGGGATTACAGGCGTGCACCACCACACTGGCCTCACACACAAAGTCTTAGAAGGAATCCGGCTTTTCTCTTGCCCTTCCTCTGGGCAGCCAGGGCTTGCCTGTGTCTACTCTTTCCTGTCCGTCCCGGAAACAGTGTGGGCTAGAAGTAGCCATTGAAGAGAATAGAGTTGGGGCATTAATTACAATTTAGTCTTGATGTTGCTATTGCCAAAAATGTAAATAAACTGGAAAGGGCTAATGCAAAGGTTCTGCCCACACCTTTGTTAAAGGAAGCTGAAAGAAAGCACCACATTGGTGGAAAGCAAGGCCCTGGTGCCCTCCTGTCCTAAAGCCCACACTACTGTTTCCAAGGGGTGGCCCCAGCCACGCCTCGGGCAGACTCACCAGTGGACAGTGGGCCCTGCTGATTGAGAAGCTGGGAAGGCCCTGCCTTATTTGCTGTCCTTGTTGCTGATACAACAAGGCCTGACACCCACAGCTTCAGGAAGGAGAGGTTTGTTCTGGCTCCAAGGTAGGATGGCACAGTGGAGGGGCACAGAAAAGAAAGTGATCCAGGCCACCTTCCCAGGGCTGAGAGGATAGGGAGGAGCTAGGGAGGGAGAGAAACCCTTCCAGGACGGACGTTCCCCCAGTGGCCTGCCTCTTCCAGCCAGGCCCTGCCTCCTAACACGGAGTACCTGTAACCTAGGCACCTCCCAAAGCCCACCTTTCAGCGTGCAAAGCTCCGAGGGGGACAGCTGGATCTAAACCATTTCTGAGGCTGTGTGTGTGATACACACCCAGGGCCTGGCACCAAGTAGATGTCCAGGGAGTGTTCAGCGTGTGACTCTTCCTTACTACACGTTAATTAACACCGTAGAGTTTGAGCTTATGGAGGACGATGCAGAACTTATCCGTGTTCGTTATGAAAGAATCTAGTCTTAGCCGTGTGAACGAACCTGTTCTGTAACTGAGTTTTAGAGGGAAAAAGCCCGTGGATGGATTTCCTCAGCACTGAACCCTGCTGTCTTCCCTGTCTTCCAGCGTGAGTCGGCAGTAATGCTAACACTGGCAAGCAAGCTGAAGCGGGAGGATGGTCTCAAAGGGTCCCGGACGTCAGCCGCCTCGTCTGACTCCACGCGGAGGGTGTCTGTGAGAGACAAGTTGCTAGTTAAAGGTAATCGCGACCCGGGGGAGCTGTCTGTGTGTCCTGTTGCTGCAACAAACAAAGTTTGCCTGGAAGTTGGTGGGTATAAAGCCCCGCTGCCCATCGCAGTACTTGTTTGAAAAGATCTCAGCCTCTAATCACCTGTCTCGAGCACTGGCAGGACGCGTGCGCTGTAGGTGACAGGACTGCAGTGGCAAGGAGATGGCATTGTGGTGTAGAAGCTGGCTGGGCGTGCCCGCTGTGGGGTGTGCCCGCACGGAAGGGCAGGGCTGTGGGAGTGGCAGGGTGGGGATGGGCTTCGGTGTAGCCGCTCTGTCCTGGCGAGGCCCCGTGCTTGGTGGGAACGGGGTGGGTGGGCCTGGGCATCTCCGCGTCCTTCCCTGTTAGGTTCAAGCAGCACTGTGCGATGAGTCCTCCGCACAGACTTAGAACAGGCATCCTGTCTCAGGGCCACAGTAGTCACTTGTGCCCTGTCTGTGAAGGAGACTGTCTTTGAGAAGGAGTTCGGGAGTGGAGAGTGTGTGTGCAAATGTGTGCTCATTCATGTTTGTGCGTGCTTGTAGTTTTGCATCCACTGAACGGCTGCGCAGTCGTGGGGTTTAAGTGCAAAGGGAGTTTCTTAGGGTTATGAGCCCCACAAAGCTGAAGCAGCAGCAGTTCTTGCCTCTAGGGAAGGTATCATTTACAATGCATTTTATTTTGTATCAAATCATCTACATGTCTTTATGATTTGTAAATGATTTGCAGTACTGTAGTACTGAGCTACATCCCTAGCCTTTTTTAAAATTTTGAGATAGGGTCTTAAGTTGTCTAGGCTGGGCTGGAATTTGTGATTTTCCTGCCTCAGCTTCCCAGAGTTCTGGGATTACAGGTGTGTGCCACTGCGCCTGGCTTCTTTGCTAGTTCTTGGGTGATATAGCTAAGCACTACAGGAGGGTGGGGTAGTATTCGCACCATCTGCTTGCACTTCCTATTCTGTGGGCTGCAGGGTGCCCCGCACGTGTGGTAACAGGAAGGTGGCTTGTGTGCTGCGCTGTGCTCCCTTCCCAGAGCAGCTGCTGCTGAGCTGCGAGACAGGATGCAGGAAGGCAGGTTGGTGCCACAGCAGGTTGGTGGTGGCTTAGCAGGGCCTCTTCCTTGTGGTGAACCTGGACTTAGCTTTGGGTGACACAGCCTGATGGGGCAAGTGAGAGAGCCAGGCATGGTGGTGCACACCTTTAAACCAGCACTCAGGAAGCTGAGGCAGGAGGATTGCTGCAGGTTGGAGGCCAGCCTGTGCTACGTAGTGAGTTCAGAGCCAGCCAAGATACATAATAAGACCCTGTCTCAAAAAAAAAATGAAGTGAGAATTGTTTTTTCTGTCTCAGTCTTACCTACTAAGTGTAAGAGAACCCCAGCTTGTATTTACAATCTGTAATAGCCCTGGAGGGGTCATTAGACAGGAGCTGAGAATGTCCCCCCAAATCGAGATAGGCCCCTAAGCTTACCTCCAGTAGCTTCTGGACTCTTGTTGCAGATAAGTATTTCAGGATGCCAGTGAGTGGCACAAGTGCCTGCCTAGGATGGCCAGTGAAGCAGATTTCTCAGGCAGAGTTAGAAAGGAAGAGAGCGTGGGAGGGGCTCAGCTGGAGGAGCTGAAAGGGCGCTGCCCAGAGCAGTGGGTGAGGAATCCCCGGGGGGCCTGAGGGGCTCTCAGAGTGGAGCGGGGACCTGGGCTCCCGCACCCACAGGGCAGGCTGTGGGGCTGCAGACTCCCTTGTAGAAGGGGACTTTCAAAGTGAGTCCAGGAGAGGCTGCAGAGGGAGATTAGGCAGAAGCTGCAGCGTGCACTCAGAAAACAGGATGGGCCCTCAAGCGAAAGGCTGTGGTGTCAGGAGGTGGGAATGTTTATATGGTTGGGGTGGAAATCTGGAATTTGAATTTATAGAAAGCTTGGGCTTGGCTTACAGGAGACGAGGGGTGGCCCACGCAAAGGTAGAAAAGTCATAGCTTATTTACCAGTAAAGGCACTAGGCCCAGTCTATTGCATTTTAAAAGACTGGCTCGGTTTTCCTCAAAAACATTCTTTGAAACCTGTGAATCTGTTTCGCTATGTTAAGGGCAAGTTTCTGCCCTTTCGCTCAGCACCCAAGCTAGTTTATGCATCAGTAGTAGCTTTGCTGGCTGGAGAGGAAAGCAAGCCTGTGGGGAGTAAACCAGCTGCTGGGGTGCATGAGAGGGTGCCTTTGGGGAACTCTATGTTCGGAAGTTGCAGCCCTGAGAGCACAGTTTTACATTTAGGGTTCCCTTGTCTCTGTGTTTTCCCTGCCCTGCCTCAGACTGGCCCCAGACAAAGGCCAGGACCAGCTTTGGAGGCGTTGAAGGTGTCATTTAATCCACCTCTGGGAGTGACCATTTCTCCCTGGGTTGCCTCGGTCTCGGGGGGGCTCTGCTGGAACCCACAGTGACCCGAGCTTTAGGGCGGTGGCTGGCTTCTGGGCACTCGGTGGTGGTTGAGTGTCCCTGCAGATCTCTCACCTTGGCGTATTCAGTCTTGAAGGAGGTGGAGGCCGGTTCTGTAAACTCTGGGCTGATCCTCCTGTGTCACCAGCTTTTGGATGGACACCCCTGATGGTCAGCTCGCCTGCCTGCAGTGCAGATTTAGGGTCTGACCCAGAACTCCCATTGTCTAAAGGAGACAGATACAAGTGAGGGTCAAGCTCTGTTCTGTTGTAGCTACCTGTTGGCTTCTGTGGGTCCATGTGAAGGGTCACTGGGTATTTAGCAAACATAGCGCTCTGAAGATGACACAGGATCATGCTTCTGAAGGGTGACAGGTTCAGTGAAGGCCCAGCAGTTAGCATGTCCTCCGTCCCCATGGTGGACACCATGTGGGAGCAGAAGGTGGGCATGGACCAGAGTCCCTTACTCGGGTGAGCCTGACAGGACCTGAGTCCCTTTCTTGGGTGAAGTGAGGCACCCAGCCAGCCGGAGGGACTGGGGGTGTTGTTGCAGCACTGGGGGGGGGGGTGGTTGCGGTGCAGGTTCTTGCTGCAGAGGAGCATGAGAGGCCAACCCGTCTTTATGCTTCCATCATGGTGACACATGGCAGCGCTGGGACTGTCAGGCACTGTCCTAGTGTGTTGTGCTGCTATAACAAACCACTACAAGCCAGATACTTTCTAAACAGCATACATTTATCTCCCATGGTCTGCAGGCTGGAAAGTTCAAGATGAAGGTGCAGAAGGATGGTGGCTGGTGAGGGCTGCTTTCTGCCTCCAAAATGACACCAGGTTGCTGTGCTTTTAAGGAGCAGGAGGGCGACAGGGCGGAGGGCCCTCAGCCTCTTCGATGGCACACTCTGTTCATGAAGGTGTGGGCCTAGACATAGATTGCTTCCTAGCGGCTCCACCTTTAATACCACCACCATAGGATTCAGTTTCTGCAGATGTTGGGCCTTTAGCTGGGCCTTTGCCAACACTGCAGAGCTGGTTCTTGTGTGCGCTTTGGTGGGGGTTTTGTTCTGCAGGAGGCTGGGCTCAGGAACTGAGGAACCCTGCTGTGTGTTGCGGCAGGACTGGCAGACGCACATCCTGCTTGGGCTCAGCCGGGGGAGGTGGGCAGACTTAGCACTCCAGCGGGGCGTTCAGGGCCACCACCTCTCTGGCTCAGGACTGTCCCAGGCGTCCCAGGATGCTCTGAGGTCTGGGGTTTGGGACCTGAGCCTATCAGAGCAGAGCTCTGTCCTAGCTCAAGCACAGGTGCCATGGGAGCTGACCTGTGAGCCACTTTGAGGAGAGGTGCAGGCACTGGGAAGCCCTTGTTCCTGGAAAAGTAGAAGGAGCACTCACTGCTCCCCAGATGTGTTCTATCCAGCCAGTCTGGTGGGTGGGGCAGGCTTGCTTTCTGTGTGTTTGTTGCAGTACTGGGGATTTGAATCCAGAGCTTGGGCCCTGAGCCTCTTTCCCAGCCCTTTTGTGTTTTTGTATTTGAGACAAAAAGCTCTCTTTTAAGTTGCTAAGTTGCCTAAGTGGTACTCAAACTTGCAACCCCCCTGCCTCACGTTTCCTCAGCTGGATCTCAGGCATGCACCACTGTGCCTCGCTTGGACCACAGTTTGGCTTGCCCCATTGTCAGGGTTGTCGCAGCATTTGGTAGGACGTGAAGGTGGGGAGTTCCGGAGCCTGGCCCTGCTGATGTGGAGGCGGGCGGCTGGCTCTGAGGCTGACCTTCGTGTGCTGCGGTGGAGGGGTGGGCACCAGAGGCACTACACAGGGGTGCTGGGATGCCCCTTCAGGTGAGTGCATGTGGTGTGGGGTGTTACGGCTTATATCTAGATATACCCCCAAAGTTTCATGCACTCATAGGTGGGGAGTTCCGGAGGTGGTGGATTAGGGTGTGTGAATGTGCATTAAGAACGTGATACTGGGGTTAAGGGCATGGGTAATGGAAACCTTGTCCTGGGTGTGAGTGGCACCAATCAATTGAACGTGGCGAATGTAGCGGCACAGAAAGAAGGTGGGCCTGCTGTTTCCTGCCTCCTGTCTTCTGTCTGCCAGGCTGTGGTCTGTTTCTCCTCCAGGATGCCCCTTGGCAGTACCGCCCTGTCTTAGAGCCAGCATCCTGTAGACTGAAACCTCTAGGACTGGGAGCCAAATGAACCTTTCCTCCTTTAACTTGTGGGTGTTGGGTGCTTATATCAGCAAGGAGAGAAGTAACTAAGATGGGGCCAGTGTGTCCACCAGGTGGATTTCGTAACCTGGTATTTGAGTGCAGTCATGCCTCAGGTGGGCACCGTGATTTGATTCTCACAAAGGAGAAGAGTGGTTTCTCAGAAGGAAGCTGTGCAGCCATGGAACTGTGCACGGTGCCAGGTGCTCTCCTCCGCCCTTCCCCTGTTGCAGTGGTGAATTCCATTGAACACACAAATGCAAGCAAAGCGCTCATGTTGGCATTTACAGTCTTGACTATCATGTGATGTCCTTCGCGTTACCTCGGCAGAACTTGCTGCTAAGTTCTCCTGTGTGTATAGTGCTGCGTGTGGGTATGTCACGTGGCAGATGCTCTGCAGCAGTGGCCTACACCTGGGCTGTCTGACATTTGTGTCGCCCCAGATTTTTACGTTGTTACCTGATCAGCGGTGCGATGCTTGGGAAGGGGTCTTTGGGAGGCAGTGAGTTCAGGAGAGTGTTCTCATAAACAGATCCCAGAGTACTTCCTTGCCTCTGCTGGCGTACCCAGCGCACCCATGAGAACACGGTGGAAAGTTTTCACTGCACACTGCATCTGCTGGCGTCTTGAGCATGAGCTTCCTGGCCTCTAGAGTGCCGGGGGAAGTGCCCGTTGTGTGTATGATGCTTTATTGTGACTTCCCAAACAGACTTAAGACACCAAGAGAAAGTATGGAGGATGCAGGGTCATGGCCATGCCTGGGAACTGTGATGTAACTGGTACAGGTTAGTGTTAGGGCGTCAGGCTTTTTACAGGCCCTGCAGCTACTGGCTTGTGAAAGACATAATTCCAAGATTCATTAAAAATCATCCAGTCATTTGTTTAAAAATAGCCCCATTTTACATTGAGTACATTATTCCTCATTAAAGCTGTGGAGAAAAATCAAATTATGCCCCATGTTACTGATGTGCCCCTGGGCCAGGGATGCCTGCTCCCAGGGCTGTGTCCTCTGTCCCCTCCCTCGGACATCCCACGCCACACTCTTCCCTGAGGTATGGCCCACCTGCTGCTATCGGGTGGAGACTTCACTCTGCTGCTCCTGCCCCCCGTGTCACCTCTTCTGCTCAGGTCTGTGGCTCCCTGTCCCGGTGCCCAGATCTCACCCTCATCGTTGGCACACTGCACTGCCCTTTTGATGGTTTTGCTTCTGTTCCTCCACTTGAAATTAATACCCTTTGGGCACATTTTTTATTTTGTTAGGCAGAGCTGTACAACAGGATTTACCCCAATTGCAGATAGAATGGCCCTCTGCCTAGTGGTTTGGGCCACTGCCACAGAGCAAGAGCCACATTCCAGGACTCAACACCAGTTTTTCAAAAGAAGGGCCCTCAAGAATAGTTTCTTATAAGTCCTTATCAATAAAACTATAAACAACAGTAGAACAAAGTGTGCTGGGATTTGCTTTGAAAGGGAGTTTGATTATACAGGTAACATTTAGTGGAAAGTGGTGGAGGTGAAAGATGCACTGCCCTCTGCCTTAGCCTTCTGCTGTCCCTCCTGAGGGCAGGGCAGCCACTTGGAACTTGGGTCGGGTGCATCATAGGCACGAAGGCAACGAGCCCTTGACAGGCTCGCCGTCCTCTGTTCTGCTGAGTGAACGCTTTTTAGTGTGCTGCACACACACCTACCAGGACAGACTCCAGGCTTGTGCCCCATCACAGGCTCTTGCTCCTGCACGAAGTGTGCAGCTTCAGGGAACTCTGGCCACCGCAGCAATTCCTCACTTCCCTTACTGAGGAGACCACGCTGTGGCTTCTGCCCTTTTTGTACCCCTCTTCTGTCTCTTTCCTCTTGCATTCCTGCTGTTCAGATGCCCCAGCAGGATCTGATGTGCTTCCCTCTGGACAACTCTTATTAAATATTTTGATTATTTTGAGACAGGGTCTCACTGTGTAGCCCAGGCTGGCTTTGAACTCATGGTGATCCTCCTTTCTCGGCCTCCTGAGTGCTGGGATTACATGTGTGCACCACCACGCCTGGGTTGTGATTAATTTATTAAGTTATGTAGCATAGTGCTTTGACGTATGTATACATAGTGGAATGATGACTAAGCAAGTTTATATAGCCGTCTCCTCACCTCGTTGCATTGGATCTTTGGGCTGAGCCTGTGGAGCTGCAACTTTGTGTGCTTTGACCCCCACCTCCCACTGCCCTGTCTTCTGTCCCGAGTCCCTGGTCCCCACTGTCGTATTCTGTTTCTGCGTATTTGACTGTCGGATTCCGGGCACTGCAGCAGTACTTCCTTCTGTGTAGGCTTATTTCACTTAGCACAATGTCCTTGAGGTTCATCCCTGTGCTCACAGATGGCAGGACCTCCATTATCGGACTGAATAATGCTCCTGTTTATATCACAACTTCTTCATCCATCCATCCACCCATAGACGTGGTGCTCGTTTCCTATTTGGCTGTGGTAAATAGCCCTGCAGAGGAATATGCAAGTGCTGAGATCCCCACAAACACTGCTTTCATTTCCTTTGAGTGTGGACCCACAGGAGCACATGCTGGACGGTGTGGTGGTTCTTTTGTTTAGGTTTTGAGGCACCTCCACATTGTTTTCCATGCAGTTGTGCTAATTGACATTCATGCCAGTATCACGCAAAGGTCCTCTTTTCTCCACCAGCACTTGTTATCCTTGTCTTTCTGGTAATGGCCATCCTGATAAGGTGTGAGGAGATCATGTGATTGTGGCTTTGTTCCTTGTTTCTCTGATGTTTATTGATAGTGACACTTTCTTATAAGCCTGTTGGTTGATTTCTGTCTTTAGATAATGTCTGTTCTGGTCCATTTTCTATATTCAGGTTGGTTTTGTTGTTGTGATTGAGTTATATGAGTTCCTTGTTATTTTTGATATTAAGCCCTTACCAGATGTACGGCATGCAGATATATTTCCCCAATCGGTAGGTTTCCCCTTTTTCTCCATGTAGCCTTTTACTTTAAGGCAATCCCACTTGTTTATTTTTGCTTTGTTATTGTTGCTTGAGCTTTGGGTATGATATCAAAAAGATCATTGCTAAGGTCAAGTCAAGGAACTTATTCCATATATATTTCCCCCCAGGAGTCTTACAGTTTCAAGTTTTATGTTGAAGCCTTTAAACCCCAATTTTGAGTTGATTTTTGTGCAAGATGTGAGGATCAAGGTCCACTTTCATTCTTTTGCCTGTGGCTATCCAGTTTTCCCAGCCACTTACTGAAAAGGCTGCTGTTTCCTCTATGGTATTGTTTTTACTTTTTTTTTTTGGTGGGGGGAGTCTTTTTGAGACAAGGTCTCCCTATGCAGTTCAGGCTGGCCTTGAGCTCACTTTGTAGCCCAGGCTGGTCTCGAACTCGCAATGATCCTCCAGCCTCAGCCTCCCCCGTGCTGGGATGACAGGCATGCGCCGCCATGCCCGGCTCCCCTATGGTATTTTCTTAGTGGCCTTAGATTAGTTGGCTGTGTATTGTTAAGTTTATTTCTGAACTGTTTTGTTCCATTGGTCTTTGGGTCCATGTTTATGCCTATACCGTACTGTTTAATCACCCTACATTGGTAAAATAGCTTGAAATCATAAAGTATGCTACCTCCAACTTTGTTCTTCTTTCTCAAGACAGGTTTGGCTGTTTTTATGGTTTTAGACAAAATTTAGTATGGCTTTCCATTTCTGTGAAGAGTGCCATTGAAACTTTAATAGGGATTGCATTGAATCTATGGATTTTTGGGATAGTATGAACACTTTAACAATATTAATTCTTCCAGTTCATGAACATGGGCTGTCTTTCCATTTATTTGTGTCCTCAGATTCTCTCATCTGGATTTTACAGTTTTCCAGTTTAGAGATCTTTCCTGGTTAAATTTATTCCTAAATATTTTATTATTTTTGATACCATTGAAAGTGGGATTATTTTCTTGGTTTCTATTTTGAATGGCTCATTTGTAGTGTATAGAAACAAAACTGGTTTTGTGTGTGTTTTTGTTTTTTGTTTTTTTTTTTGTCTTTTTTGGACATAGGGTCTTGTTATGCAGTTCAGGCTGGCCTTGAGCTCACTTTGTAGCCCAGGCTGGTCTCGAACTCACAATGATCCTCCTGCCTCAGCCTTGCGAGTGCTTGTATTACAGGTGCATGTCCCACCACACCGAGCTGTGTGTTGATTTTGCATCCTATAACGTCACTGAATGTTTGTTGGTGGTGTTTTGTTATTGTGGGTCTCTTCGGCCTTCTACATATAGATAGGGTCATGCGGTCTGAAAACTGAGATAATTTTACTTTCTGATTGGATCTCTTTCATTTCTTTTTCTCGAGTGATTGTTTTTGCTAGCATTTCAAGTACTGCGTTAAGTAGAACTAGGTAGAACTGGTGAGAGTAAGTGAATCACCTTGGGTTGTCTCTCAAGGACTCAGCCCAGCCCTTAATAGCAGGCTCGTGGTGGGAGCGCACCTTTGTCCTGCAGAAGGGTGAGGGGCTCAAACACCTACTGAGAGACTGACAGAGAGGAACTGGGTGGTCTGAGGCCTCGGAGAGAAGACCAGGGCCAAGAGATGGAGCTGTAAGCAGGGAGCTTGCAGACAGGTCTAGAAAAAGATGGACACGGGATATCAAGATTACATTTTGAGAAGAGCAGTTCTTCTCCTTTTGGGAATAGTCTTCGGAAACACTGTAGTCATTGTTTGCCCGTGGTAATTTCTGTGTTTACTTGGTACGATTTTCATTCATATTAAAGGGAATTTTCCAGGGTCTTTGGCTATATTTGTTGGCATTCTGCAGTTCATCTTGTGCATTTGAAAGCAGCCATGAATTAGCAGTGGTGGGGAACCTATGGCATGTGTGCTGTGGGCCGTTTGTGTCATCGAGAGCTCTAAAAGGGTCGCCATCACTGGATTAAAGTACAAACTCCAGACAGTGTTCTGTTGCGTCCAGTTTATCTTTTTCCTTGGTATTTGAGAAGAAATTGCGAATCTAGAGCTGGTGATAATATAAGAGTAATATTAACCATGGTTTCTTTGTTTCTACAGAGGTTGCAGAACTTGAAGCTAATTTACCTTGTAAGTATAGCATTCGTGGTCACAATTAAGTACTGTAAGGTAATTGCATGAGGAAAGCTTGTTTTATGTTTTAATGACCTTCATAGCAAAACCAATTTTTTTTAAATGTTGGAAATTTTTAATTTTGTGTAAAAAGAATTTTGGAGGACATAATGAAAACAGGGCTGTGTAACATTTCTGGGTACAGTGTGCAGAATGCAGAGGCGTAGAAATCAGTAAAAGATGGTTCTTTTTTTTTTGGTTTGTTTCTGGTACCGGGAATCAAACTCACAACCTTGCGCTTGCCAGGCAGGCGCTGTGCTGCTGAGCTAAATCCCTGGCCCCCAATGGTTCTATTTTTGTCATTCACAGTTCTGCCATTTTGGTCCAGAAAGTACTTTGGGTTTGAGGTAGGGCATTGGCGTGGCCCTTCCATCCATAGGTGTCCCCATCCCGGCCCAACCACATGGCCTGACTGCAGCCCGCACGTGAAAGGGCCTCACTAGGCCATACATTGGTGTAATAGGTATCAGAATGTCTTTTTTCTGTTATTAAGCCCTCACTATTTTCTAAGGCCACTGAAAACTTGGGCTGTTGTAGTGTTTTTGTATTAGAACGTTTTATAATCCCACGTGGTTTAGCAGTTGCCCAGAGGCTAGGTGTGGCTGTGGCTGTGGTTTACTCCAAGTGGGGTCTGGCGTAGGGGGAAGGCAGGAGGACTTGGACTATGTGTGCAGCCCATCTGACGCCACAGAGGGCACGCTCCACCACCACCTGAGGTTGGAAGGTAGGTGGACTGCAGGCTGAGTGCTGTGCTGTGGTGCTACGGGGTAAGTGCCTGCTTCTTGGAAAACTGCTGCGTGGGAAGATTGGGTGGTGATACGAAGCCTGTATCTCAGCCTGGGTCTCAGTCAGGATGTCCTGGAAGTCCTAGATTGCTTATCCTCAAAATGTTCTGTAACTCAGAACTGAAGCTGTTGCCTTGGGCTTCTGTTAATAAATTTCTACCGACTGAAGTACGTATAGGTGAAATGAGGTGCTTTTAAAGTGAATGTGTGTGGGATGGGGTAGGCAAAGCCAGGCTGGCAGGTCTGGAAGCAGAGGGATAGGTTCACTGTATTCCTCTCCATCCTGTGTCTTTGAGGACAGAACAGAAAAGTAACAGGAAGTGACCCCTCTGCTTGCCACTGTGTGGTCCCTCCCCACCAGCCCCTGACGAGAACACACATGTACATGTGTGTCTTTTAATGAAAGGTCACGGGACTGCTCCCCTTCATCAGTTTGGTTTTTTTTTTTTTTTGGTTTTTCTCCGGTACCGGGAACCGAACTCACGACCTTGTGCTTGCCAGGCAGGCGCTTTTGCTGCTGAGCTAAATCCCAAGCCCCAGTTTGTTTTGTTTTGGAATGTGACTCGTCCAGAAATCGTTGGGTATTTTTTTTTCTTTTTTTTAATCCATAAAGTGAATTTAAAAACACAAAATTTAATCCCAGCATTGTGGGAGGCTGAGGCAAGAGGATGTAAAATTCAAGCGCATATGGGCAAGCTAGCGGTTTGGCGAGACCCTGTCTGGGAATGTAACCAGTGCGAAGGCCCAGGGTTCCATCCCCACCACCACAAAACAAAACAGGGACTTCACGACTGGCTTTAAAATTGGGATTTTAACTAAATAAATTAGGATTGAAAAAGATGTGGCCCATCTTCCTGTCCCTTTGGCTTAGGTGTCAGATAAAAGACAGCATCTAACATACCTTTTGTTCCTTCTCCCTACCTTCTTCCCTGGAGAGATGGGAAATCTAAATTAGCTTACAAGGTCAGATGTGTTTTCCAAAAGTCTGAAGTTCATTATTCTACAGAGGGAATAAGCTGCCAAAGACTAAACATTTACTATCCACATAACAATCCTTCTAAAATATTTACAAAGACAAAATCACTTGCCTTTGGCCGTGCTGTTTAATAATTATCCTGAGCTAGGAGGAAGCGCTGTATGTGCAAGTTCATAGACACTTCTTGGCAAAAGTAAAAATGCCTCTGAGATAGACTGAGAGTCACTGGGTCTCAGAGAGCGCCTGTCTGCCTGTGGGAGGAAGCTTAATTCTGGAGTTTTAGTAAAGCTTCTGCACTCAGCTAAGACGAAAACCTAACTTTTTACCTTTTGTTCTTTAGAGTTTATCTGTTCTTAAACTTTAACACTTGTGGAGTTTTTCAGGAGCTTTATTTTTAGTCCACTGTGATAACCTCTTTATCCTGGCGGGCCCGTCTCCTGGGTTGGCTTCCATGTGTGTTCATTTGTTATGAGACTGAGGAGAGATAGCCTTTCACAGCGAGCACCTGCGCCAGCCTCGGCTCATCAAGACCCTTATTTGCGTTTCTTACGTGTCTCTCACAAAGAAACACGACGTATGTTTTCCAGATCAGGGTTATGGGAACGAAGCCCATGGTCAGACCTCCATGCACAGTTTCGGGGTTGGTGGGAGAGCAGTACAGGACAGTGAACCTAGGGCCTTTGCACTGCGCTAGATCCTCAGCACTTTTTAAATTTTTCATTTTGAGACAGGGTCTTGCTAAATTGCCCAGGCTGGGATTAGACTTGATGATCCTCCTGCCTCAACCTCTCAAGAGTGCTGAGATTGCAGGCATGTGCCACCATACTTGGCTGCACATATGGTTGTAAATGTGTGATTTGTGGGCAAGTCCTGAACTCGTAGGCTCAAATTTCTTTCCTTTTGAAGTAAGGGAGATGGCAGTGTACCCTCTAAAAGTGCTTCTTGTCCATCTAGCTCCACAGTTATCTGTCCCCCTGAAGAAGTGCCCTGCAGTTCTGGCTCGTTCTGCTGACACATTTCATCTTATGTCTCGCGTGATGCTGAATCCCAGACAGAAATACAGCCTGTGGGAGGGACCAGGACGGGAGTTGGGCACTGGCTGGGTGCTGGCCCCTGCCTGTTGGTGCCTGTGGACTTAGCTGTGTGCTGCAACAGCCTCTGTGACCTCCTGCCAGCTGTGCTGATTGGGGGCCTCGGAGGTCATTTCTAACTCAGTATTTGCATTCTACTTCTATAGAAATTTCTCCTCATTATAAAACTGAGCACATATTTTCAGGGGGACTTAGAAGAAATAAGGTCGGTGAGCCAGGAGTGGTGGTGCACACTGTAATCCCAGTCAGCCTGGGCTATGTGGTGAGTTCAAAGCCAGCATGAGGTAGGCAGCAAGATTCTGTCTCAAAAACAAAACAGAAACCAAGTAAGTGGAAGGCGTGATGTGGGCAGATGAACGGAGGAGCTCAGCTTGCTGTTTTCTGAGTTTGCACACAGTGCAGTAAGTGTCCCCGTGTGCCTGCTGGCCTGCCTGCAGGCGTCCACACCATGGTGCTTGCCACTCTTCTGTGCCTCCCCCGTGGGCCACAGGCAAACGTCCTGTCCTGACCAGGTCCGTCTGCCGGGGCCCACGGGCCTAGAACGTCACCACCCAGGCCTGCAGAGCCTCCTCACTAGCAGGAAAAGCCGTGTTAAGCTGGGCTGAAGGTGTGTTTGCCGACTCCTGCTGCCTGAGCAGCACACTGGGTCTCCCTCACACCTGGTGGCTGAACTAGCCTTTGCTGCTCATTACTGTCCTGGGGTGCAGTTTATCCTTTCCTTCCTTCCTTCCTTCCTTCCTTCCTTCCTTCCTTCCTTCCTTCCATCCACCCATCCCTCCATCCATCCATCCATCCATCAGGAATCAAACTCAGGACCTTGCGCTTGCCAGGCAGGGGCTGTGCTGCGGAGCTACATCCCTGACCCTGGTTTCTGTTTTTTAAAGTAAATCACAGAATTCTTGAAATGAGTGGAAAGGTCTGTTTTTAGTACCATTTAAGGGTTGAAGGAAAGTTTGGAGTTCCCTATTGAAAGACCCTAAGGAGAGGGACAAATGGAAAAGCGCTGGTCTGTGGCGCCCGTGTATCACTGTGTGTGCGGCCCGCTGCCGCCAGCTTGCTGATGTGTGTTTCTTTTGCAGGTACGTGTAAAGTGCATTTTCCTGATCCAAACAAGCTGCACTGCTTTCAGCTAACTGTAACCCCAGGTAATCAGTACTGTTCTGTCCTTAATGCTAGACTCTTCACACAGCAAAATTTTAAAGCCTGCTCAAATTTATCATCTTTGGCTTGATTTGTAATCTAGGTTTTAAAAGTGAAGACATTTTGTATGAACCGCTACATATGAGGACAGGAGGTGCTCAGTACACACCACAGTAACTGTGTAGCTTAACGGCTTGAGCCGGTCCGGATGGCTGTTAGTGAATAGTGGAGGGTGTGGGCTCTGAGAGCCTGCATGGGCTCCAGTCTCCCCCTGCTTCAGAGCATCACTGCCCTGGCCTCCCAGTCACAGCCCTTCTCTAGCACAGGGACCAGGCAGGACAGGCTGTTTCCCAGGTCACTGGGAGGACCGGCTACATAGACACCTCTTAGGCCAGGATGGCAGTTTATCTGCTGTCCCCGTGTGCCTGCTGGCCTGCCTGTAGGCGTCCGGATGGCAGCTTATCTGCTGTCCTCCTGGGACAGATAAGGGCCTGATCTTCAGGCTGGCCTCAGGGCAGCGTATCTCCTGAGCCAGACCACAGGACAGGCGGGAGGCTGTGGCTTTTCTAGTTAGGGCGCAGCTCCTGAGTTCGCAGATTTCTGCCCATGCTGACATCAGCAGTGGGTGGCAGGAAGTTGATGCTGCAGTAGGGTGGACAGGGAAGGAGGAAGAAGGGAATTAACTGAGAGGTTCTCGGAAGTCTAACCTTTCTCTAAGAAAGGAACACACAGGTGTTTGTAAAGACGTACCAGCAAGGGGGAGTCACCCACTCGTTTCCTGTTCCACATTAGCTGTCTGAAGGCTGAGATGTTCAGAAGTGTCCTCAGGAGAAACGGAGATTATCCTTCATGTGAATGTGTCAGTCATGTTAAAGATGTGAAATTGAATGGAAATTGCTCCAAGACTTGTGACAAAGCGAGGATAAGGGATAATTTGTCAAAACATTATGTTGACCGAGAGGTCCCCTGGGTCAATGGAGGCTGACGTGGCTGACCTTTGGAGCAGTGCTAGCTGAGCTGAGGCACCCAGCGCTGTTTTTGAGGCAGTCTGTCCACAGATGTTCCTGCCATCACTGGGCAGATGTAAAGTTCAGGTTATGGCTCGGACCTGAAGTGGGCAGAAAAAAAAATGAAGGCGGGGAGTTTGGGCATGGAATTAGAAGGCATTGTTTACTCGGGAGGGAGAGGGAATGAGGAACTGGGGGTGATGACGCAGCAGCTGGTTCCAAAGCGGAAGCAGTACTAAAGTTTGGTGCATGGTGATGAGCCTGTGGTCTTGTTGCCCTGAGGTAGGGTAGATTGCTTCCTTTAAGAAGTTTTATGATAATAGGATAAATCCTAATTTCAAAATGTTCTCAGGACCTTGAAAATTCCTTTTATCAGTGTGAAGGTTCGGCACAGGTCCCTGGAACCTGTGTAAATTTGGTCTGGTACCAAGTGCTCAGAGATGAGAATACTGGGACATGACTGATAGCAGAACCCTGTGCTTAGAAACAAGGTGTTCCACAGGCCTGCCATTTCCGGAGAAGGGGATGTAAAGCCTTGAAGCTGTGAGGTGGGGATTCTCCCTGTCCTCTGGCAGCTTTCCTGTTCCATTGTGGACTCTGCTGCTTTCACAAGGGGTACTGCGCCAACACCCGCTTTCTCAATAACAAGGTCACCAGCCTTGGGAGCGTCACCTGCTGGTATGAAACGTAGGGAACTGTCAGAGATTCTTGTGATTACGGTTGGGTCCGTTTACTCAGCATCCTCAGACTGCAGCTCACAGTAAACGTGTCCTTCCTCTGCTGTCCAGAGGGTGTCCAGGGCTTCACCCGCTTCCTGAGCCTGAGCTCTGTGGTCCTTGGCTACTCCTAGGCCTGGACCAGTTCTTGCAGGCTGTTGGTGTCATGAGTGGGTTTCCGTCGAGGCTCTCCTCCCGTCCTCCCCCCTTTAAATCTGAAACCCAAGAAAGCTGTGACGGTAAAGATTATGTAGATGTGGCATCTGGGGGGCTCAGCACTGTTCTTGGACGTGGAATGTAATTGTGACTTTGCTATTCACTAGCCCTCAGGTTTAAAAAGGAATACTTACGTTGGTAGCACGTGCACACTGGTCACTGCTGGTCCCTCAAGCCATGCACTCAGCGCACTTCCTTCCTAGCACAGAGGCAGGCCGCGGTTCGGGGTGTCTGTGACTGACAGCTGCAGGGGTTCTTGCTCTGGATTATTAAGAAAACTGGGGGGCTGGGGATTTAGCTCAGTGGCAAAAGCGCCTGCCTGGCAAGCGCAAGGTCATGAGTTCGGTTCCCGGTACCGGAGAAAAACCAAACACCCAGAAAAACCAAAAAAAAAAAAAAAAAAAAAAACTGGGGCAGAGATCTGCCAACTCCAGTACCTGCCTAGTATCACAGCGTTTACAGGAACGCTCTGGAGTCACTGCTTAGCACGGATGAGTTAAAGAGCTACGCCTCATCAGCGGCCGTGCGTGAAGCCGGCAGTTTCGTGGCAGGCTGGCTCGTCACAGCGCTCCCGCAGCCGGATGCAAACCCGGTGACGTGGAGGTTAGAGGTGCTGGAGGGTCACTGCAGTGAGCCTGTCCACATTGGCTAGCATTTTCATAGTTTTTGTTTTTGTTTTGGAGTGGTCCCTCATGCTTAGGGAATATACTTTTCATAGAAAAACCGGGAATGTAATTTGCTGATGGGCAGAGGGAAGCACTGTGTATGGGGGATGTCACCATCAGCGCCCACAAGAGAAAGTGAGACAATGCCAAAGAAGAGCCTGAGGCGGGCCCACCTGTCCCAGCTCTCCAGCATCTGCTGCCTGAAAACCCTAGCCAGCGCACGACCAGCCCTGGTGGCAGCATCGTCCCTGAAGCCCAGCTGCTGCCGCAGTGCAGGCTTTCCCAGAGGGCCCATGTGATCAACAGGGTGATTGACCATGACTTTGTTTGTTTTATCTGTGTGTGTGTTGCATGTGCATGTGTGCATGGGCACACATGGTACTGGGGATTGAACCCAGGGCCTTGGCAATGAGCTACATACACTGCCCTTTGTTAATATTTTTTACTTTCAGTTGTTAAGTTGCCCGGGCTAGGCTCAAACTTGACATCCTCCTCCCTCAGCTGTCCAGAGTACTGTGATTCTCACTCCGTAATTCAGGCTAACCTTGAATTGACTATATAGCCCAGGCTGGTCTCAAGATTTGTGGCGATCCCTCTGCCTCAGCCTCCATAGCGCTGGGATTATAAGCATGTGTCATCATGCCAGGTGCATGCTTACTTTTAAAATTAGCTTTACTGAGGTATAAAAGTGCAGATGGTAAAACGTGCAAATTGGAACTGTGCAGGTTAAGGAGTTTTGAATAATGTGTGTACCAGTTTCACTGTAACTCCAGCACAGGTGACAGACACTTCTGTGACTCCTTTCTGACTCATAGGAAAGATGGCTGCTGACCTAAGAGATTTCCGGTTGTGACACTTGCTGAGCAGCCATGCTGGTGAAGTTTTGTTTTGTTTTGTTTTGTTTTGTTTTGTTTTGTTTTCTAGTACCGGGAATCGAACTCACAACCTCGTGCTTGCCAGGCAGGCGCTGTGCCCCTGAGCTAAATCCCCAGCCCCGATGCTGGTGAGGTTGAGGCGTTCTGCACACTCATCCACACTTGAGTGTAAAATGGTTTGTCACTGTGGTATCATTTGCATTTCCCAGTGACAGATGTTGTGAGCCTGTTTCCTGGTGCTCACTGGCCATTTGTACATTTTGTGTGTATGTTATGTGCCCAAGGCCCATTGAAATCTTTTACTTTGTGGTGTTATGTGTGGCCTGGATACAAGTCCTTTGTCAGGCAGGTGAGCCATGAGTATTTTCTCTGCTCTGTTTTTAATACTCTTTGGTTTGGTTTGGTTTGGTTTGCTTTTTTTTTTTTTTTTTTTTTTGAGATAGGCTTTCCCTTTGCAGCTTAGGCTGGCTTGAACTCATTTTGTACCCCACACTGGCCTCAAACTTGCAGCGATCCTCTTGCCTCAGCCTCCCAAGTACTGGAATTATAAGTGTCCACCACCATACCCAGCTACTCTTTTTGTTGAGAAAGTTTTACTGTTAATCGTACACAGTTTCTCAAAAAAATTTTAATGGTTTAAATGTGCTTTTTGGTCCTGTTAAAAAAGTTCTTTGCTTTCTCTAAGTTGCAAAATATATTCTGTTTTTCTCTAGAAGGTTTGATGAAAAAAGTCTGTTCCTCTTCAGATTTCTCCCCCTCACAGTAGTTGTCTCTGCTGCCACATGTGACCCAGTGGCTCACAGCTGGGGTCAGCGAGGAGAAGGCGGCACTCCCAGCTGCAGGGGTGTCGGTGAAGCGGCCCATGTGGAAGAGCATGCAGGCTGTCACCTGGCGGCCGAGCACACACGTCGTGACCATCCACACCTCAGCAACACAGGCAGAATGCTGCCGCATCCACTACAGTAGCATTCTGTGAGGGAAAAGAATGGCTTACATCTTAGCTAGCTATTCCTTTTTTAATTATTGGTACGTTTTAGATATACGTAATGATAAGTATAGCTGTACATAGGGAATTTGTACCTGTACATGCTATATCTTGCCTCTTCTTTTTTCCCATTCCCTTCCCTTCAACCCCTTTTCCCCTTTTTATTTACAAAACTTTGCAAATCAGTTTTTTTTTCTCTTTGGTCTTTTTGAGACAGGGTCTCACTATGCAGTTCAGGTTGGCCTTGAGCTCACTTTGTAGCCTAGGCTGGTCTCGAACTCACAACCATCTTCCTGCCTCAGCCTCCCGAGTGCTCAGCACCACGCCTGGCTGTAAATCAGTTTTTGTACAGTGACCTTATGTCCTACAACCTTGGGAAACCTGCTTTTAGTACTAGTAGCTGTTAGTAGATCCTGTAGAACTTTCCACGTAACTGCTGTGCCAGCTGGGTAAGAGTTTTACCCTGGCCTTTCAGTGTCTTCTGTCAGTGCTGGGAAGCAAACCCAGGGCCTAGTGTGTACGAGGCAAGTCCTTTCCCACCGAGCTAAACCCCTAGCCCTCCCTTTACATGTACTTGTGTTCCCTCTCTTGCCTTATTTTATTAAGATGTCCCCTGCCTGCTCCTTTTCTTCTTTCACCGTCACGTAACTCACTTGCTGCGTCTCCTCCACGCAGGCGCAGGAGCGCCTGGGAGGGAGGTGCTGTCTCCCTCCTCTGCCCAGTGTGGGACCTGTTGGACGCGTGGAAGGAGGGAGGGGTTTACACTGCAGCTTGCTGGTTTTGACGTTACTGAACACAGAATAGCGGCAGTGTGCCTGGGAACATGATGGTCCAGGACCAGACCCCGCATGCGTTGCTGTTTGTGAGTGAACCCTGTCTCGTGCAGGTGGCGGGCTCCACCCCAACGCTGCCTGTGCACAGGAGTCGGTGGGCCCCTGGAGGTGTTACTGCTATATGCCTGTTGCTTTGGACTTCAAACTTATTATTATTATTTTTGTACCGGCAGTCGAACTCAGGACCTCACACTGACCAAGCAGGCGCTTGTGCCACTGAGCTATATCCCCAGCCCCTGGACGTCAAACTTAAACTCAAAATTAAACCAAAAAAACATAGGAAATATTTTCGTGCTCTTTTAGCTGACTGCTAGGATGGTGGGGCGGCGGGGACGGTGGGGGGGGGGCTTCTTCCATTTTGTTAAAAGCTGGGGTTGGGGCCAGGAATGGTGGTGCATAGGGTGTATTGCCAGCACCCAAGAGGCTGAGGCAAGGAGGATTGCTGCAATTTCCAGGCCCGCCTGAACTGCACAGGGAGACTTGTCTCAAGCTCCCTCCGTCAAAAAAGCAGGGGCTGGAAACCATGACATGAAAGAGCTTTTGCCACCTGCTGCAGGAGCCCTCCCCTGCGGTGCCTGCGCCCAGCGAAGCCATCGCCGCACTCCTGTAGCTGAGCTCAGCCACATGCGCTCTTCCCTCAGAGCACGTGCTTTCGCTCAGAGGGAGCGTGGCCTTCTTTCCAACCTACCTTCACCGAGGGCCTTGAAACGACTCACCGCAGGCTTCGCGTTTGCACCTCAAGCGTGGGGTTGGCAAATCCGGCTCGGTCAAGCACACATCTGCCAGCTACATTACCGAGAGCCTGGTCAGTCATCCGCGCGGCCTGTCCCCCGCTCTCACTGTGGGCCCAAGCCGCGGGCTCGCTCAGCTCTCGGGATGGGGTGCCGCCCTGCCTTCAGGATGCAGGCGGAAGTGACGGAGTGAAGTTTGGACCCCCGCCGCCAGGCCGCGCTGTCTGCACCCGGGAATCGTCCCTGTGCGCAGACCCGGGCTGCGGTGCGCATCAGCCTTTCGGAGCGGGTGTGAGGCACGAAAGCACGGCCCTCCGCACGCCCAGCGGCCCACCAGCGCTACACTGCGAGCCACAGCGCAGAAACCTTGCTGTGTCCAGGCGGGAGCATCGCACGCGCACGCCCGCCGACAGGAAGGGTGGTGGTTCCCTGCAGCGGGTTTCGGTTGTGGTGAGCCTGCTCCAAGGCAGGCTGGCAGGGTAGGGAGAGCTGCCCACCTGCCGGCCTGGGGCAGAGAGGAGGCAGGGAGCACGAGAGATACGCCCTCCAAGCCCTCCCTACCCCCGCCGGCCGCTCCTGGCAGCGCCTCGGGCTCGAACTGCAGGCGGCGGAGCCTGTGATGCGTGCCCGGTGACCTGGCCTTGCAGCGGAGCGCGGCCGGGAGCCCCGCGGGGCGGCCCCGCTGTTTGAGCGGGACGAAGGGGTGACTGCGGGTAGGAGCGCCGGCCTCAGAGCGCAGTGATCGCGCCTTCCCGGAGAGTCGAGGCTCGGCGGAACCGGGAGAGCAAAACCTCCCCCGGGGAGGCTGGACCAGGCGCGACGCTCCCGAGGGCCGGAGGGGGCGGCTGCAGCTCACAGTGGAGGGGAGCGTCTTCCCCCAGCGGCAGGGCCCCAGCTAGCCGAGGGGAGCGGCCCGCCCCGCAGCCGCAGGCGGTCCCACGAGCTGGCCCGCAGGCGTCCCCGGACACGACGGGCAGGGCTGAGCGAGGAGCTCCGCAGGCTCGGAAGGACCGGCCAGGCCGTCCGCCCCGCAGTGCGTCCGAGGCAGTGCCGCCTGCACGGCGGAGGGGCGGGCGCCGCGCTCCCCCGGGGCTGGAGGACCAGGGCAGGAGTTGCTCTTGGGCGCCCCCTGCGCAGGGTAGGCGGGTCAGGGGCTCTCGGCTAGCCCCGCGGGGTGTAAGCGGATTGGAAGCGGGTCCTTGACTCGGGGACTTGCTTCGTGAAAGGGAAAGAAGTCAGAACTGCCTGTTCTTGCTTCCAGTGAGTTAAGAGACAGTTACCGACTGAGATTCTCCGGGATTCCTCTCTGGAGCTGGTAGGCAGCCGAGGCGTGGAGGGGGTTGCGGTGCGGCTGGCGGGAGAGGCCAGTACCGCTCTGCGGACAGACGTGCGCTGGGGCTGGCCCTCCTGGGGAGGACGGCGCAGGTTAGCGCGGTGGGGTCAGGCCTCTGTGCTCACACCCTAGGGGGCGCCGGGCTGGGGCGGAGCTGGGGGTGGAGCGCTCCATGCCAAAACCAGAAGCTAGGACAAAGCTCCGGCTACCTCCTACTTGTTTCCTTCTGTTTCAAGGTGCCTCTTACTTGTTTTTTTTTTTTTTTGAGACAGGGTCTCACTGTTCAGTTCAGGCTGGCCTTGACTCACTTTCATTTGTCTCGAACTTGCAGCAGCAATCCTCCTGCCTCAGCCTTCCAAGTGCTGGGATTACAGGCGTGCGCCACCATGCCCGGCTCAGGTGCCTCTTACTTGAAAAGTTCTCATGTAATTAAACATTTGCCTTCACCAGTGTCATTTCCAAAGACTGTGGTTTCAGGCACAAATCCCAGGGCATTTATAAGAATTAGAAATATGAGTGTCAAGTAAAGTGGGGGCAAAACAGAATAATAAATGCTGTAGGGTGGTTAAACAGCCAATGAGAAAAAATGAATACGATTTGATTCTGCTTAATGAGTGAATCAGCTGATTAAATGTGATATGCTAAACCACAAAATTTCTAGAAGATACAGACGTGCACTTGTGTAATCTTGTTGGGAAAGACCTTTTTAATGCATGAGTCCAAAGACAAAGAAAGACTGGCTTCATAAGAATGGAAAACTAGCTGGGTGTGGTGGTGCATACCTATAGTTCCAGCACTTGGGAGGTTGAGGCAGGAGAATCACTGCAAGATTGAGGCCAGCCTGGGCTACATATTGAGTTTGAGACCGGTTTGGGCTACACAGTAAGACCTTGTCTTAAAAAGAAACACCCCCCACCCACCCCCGCAATAGAAAACTAGTTTTCAGGATCAGTGAAATCAAAAGGCAAACAGCAGACTAAGAAAAATTACTTATGACATATAGAAGGCAAAGGTGAACTTTTTTAAGGGCCTTTTTTAAAAAATTGATAAAAGATGAATATCTCAGTTAGCAACAGTTTAAAAAAACCAGTTCAGTTATTGAAAGAAAAAAGAGATGCCAGGAGGGATGGCTCATGCCCATAATCCCTGCACTCGGGAGGCTGAGGCAAGAGGATCACTGGGAGTTTGGGGCTAGCCCCAGCTATAAAGTGTGTTTAAGGCCAGCCTGAACTGCATAGAGACACCCTGTGTCAAAAAGACAAATGGCCAATTACTTGATATAAATGTCAGCATCACTAGTGTGCTGCAGATGGATGTAAAAAGCAAAGGAAGTAATTTTTTTCTTGTGTCAGATTGGCAAAGAATAAAAACAATAGAGTCCAGGTAGCACCCTCTTTAACTGCTGGGCAGTATGAGATGAGACAGCCTCAAAACTCTCGGGAACGGTGCGTTTCTGTGGTGCGTGTGGTGCTGGCAGCCTGCAGCCAGTGTCCCTTTGATGTAAGCGTTGAGGGAAGTCCTGAGAGAGAACATCGCAGATGTGTTCGTGGTGGTGAGTGTGTGGGAGGTTGAGCTGTCATTTTAAAGGTGGCACTCGTGCGGCTTGGGAAGCTGGAAGTTTTCTGGGCAGCCACTTCCTAGTCCAGTGGAAAGGGGCTACTCTGGGGGGGTCAGCAGGTTTGAGGGCCTGGGTATCCTCTCGCATGCCTTCCAGGGCCAGCTTCTCTGTGGTACCCATGGTGCCCTGAGCCTGGAGCCCTGCCTGGGAGAGGGTGGCTAGGTGCTTGGGACCTCGACTGAGAACTTGGGTGTCGTGCAGTCCTGGTCCCTAAGAGCCTACGCTCCCGTGGGAGGCCAGTCTCAAGCAGAGCGAGGACTGGCTCAGGCAGGCAGGCAGGCATCGAAGTGGGGAGGTGTTGCTCTGGAGAGCTGAGTGGTAGGGTGAGAGGGCCCAGTTTTGCAAGACTCCTCACCTTCACCCGGGTGTGGCATGCCTGCCAGTGAGGGATATGGGGCCCAAAGATGGCCAGGGGCACTGGGTGGGGCTCCCATGAGCTCACCCTTGGTGAAGGAGCCAGGGACTCTGCAGTCCTGGTTCTAACCTCTTGAATCTCCTTCATGTTCGCATATCCTGACTGAATATTGGCTTTTGTTCTCTGCTTTTTTTAATTTAAAGAATTTTTTGTTTTGCTTTGTTTTTTGACAGATGAGGGTTATTACCAGGGTGGAAAATTCCGGTTTGAAACTGAAGTTCCTGATGCGTACAACATGGTGGTGAGTAGCCTGTTCAGCCCAACTCCCCAGCCTGGCTGTGCCTGCTGCTGGTCACCCTGTCGCCCACACGGGCTCAGCACAACCCCTGTGCTTCTGTGCTGAGTGCCACCCGGCAGCAGGGTCTGAGTGTTAGTACGGAGGTATGTCCATTCTATGCCAGGCGGTCTGCCTGTGTATTTTATGCAACTGTTATTTGGCAAATAAGAAGAAAGGTATTTTTACTTTGACTCACTGGTTTTGTTTATCGTATGAGGCCAGAATTCTGTAAGTCTATAAATAATGTGCTGTAGAATTGAGGGCATAATGACTTGTTAAGCTGTAAACAGTTTATACCCAGAGTGTAACCCCAAGACCCTCCTCAGTAATTGTCACATCAAATACCACCGCGTCTCCTTCCTTTTGAGGAGCCTGCAAAGCCATCGGGGAGGTGAGAGAAAGTCTGGAAAGCTGGTAGTGGTGCAGGGGTAAATAGCAGACTGACAGATAGATGGCAGGAAGCTCAGGGACGGGCATCCTGAGAGAGCACGGCTGTGCAGACAGCCAGCGGCCGTGTAGACAGGAGCTGGCCCCCGTATGGCCAGTGTCAACCAGCCCCAGACACCAGCCACCTTCAGTGGCTGCAACACTTGTGTTGGAAGCCAAATCTTAGTTTACAGAACTTGATTTTTCCCAGGCTGCTACAGTAAGAGTTCTTTATGGAGATGAGGAATAGTTGGCAATCTGAGGCCAAAAAACAAGGACATTTAGGTGCCTTGTGGGCGCTGGCGAGCTGCATTTGGGGCTGAGCCAGCCTGGAGTTGACAACTAGCTGGGCCGCAGAGGGGCTGGGGACTGAAGGCATGGTGTGGGGAGACCGTTGTCACAACAAGGGTTCTGTCTGTTGCAGCCTCCCAAAGTGAAGTGCTTGACCAGGATCTGGCACCCCAACATCACAGAGACAGGGGAAATCTGTCTCAGGTGAGTGTCGCCTCCCTCTGCCCCTGAGTGCTTGTGTGTGAGCTGTGGCCTCCTGGTACCTGCTCTCCTGTGAGAGACGCTGAAGCCCGTCCCCACACACTGCTCCCGACAGGGCCTCCGGCGGGGCCTGGGTGCAGGCTGTTCCTCTGTGCTGCCAACTTCCCTGCCTCCTTCAGTGAGGGACCACCTTGCCTGCGTGGGACTGATTCTAGCAAAGAGGACAGAGTAAGACTGGTGGAAGCCAGGAGAGGAAGCATCGCTGACAGTCTAACAGACCTGGGGGTCCCTCTCCATGGGGGAGGGTGCACTCCACCAGACGGGGGCTCTCCAGGGGTGTGGGGAATTTTCCACAGGGGGCCTGGCTGTGTGCAGGGGCCCGCTGGACCTTGCCGCTCTCTGGTGGCACTGAGTTGGGCTCAGCAGCGCCTCCAGTGGGCGTGTGGAGTAGAGAACTGGAAAGGTGCGGGCGGGCTTCCTGGGCCTGTCCCTGTGTGTAGGAGGTGGTGGTGTCTCACAGGGGGCTCCGGACCAGGCTGGAGCAGAGCGCGTGGGCACAGCATGGGAGTGGGCAGGAGGCCCCGGGGGAGGGGCGGCGTTTTCCCCAGTGGGATTCTGTCCTGGTCAGCCTGGACTGCTGTGATCTGGGCGTTCTCAGCTCCCTAGGCCCCCCGTCCTCTCTCCAGTGAGTCGGTCACTGGCCACCAGTCAGTCACCTTGGAAGGAAGCCTTCCATCGGCCCTGTCCTGTCCCAGCAGTGCCGCGCATGCCCCCGGTCCCCTTTATCGGTGTGTGTGCTGTTGGCCTCATCAAATGGCAGTGCAGGCGGCGTGGCTTTTCTCAAGGCATCTTCGCTTTGCCCTGTCTGTCCTTAAATACCGAACCATAGCCCCACCTGGCGGCAGCGGCGAGCAGGACGTGCTGGCTGGCTCTGTGGTGTGCCATACTCCCCTCCCTTGTGTCCCCTGCCTTAGTCAGAACTGGGCCCAGAGTAGTAATGCCAGGCTTCACTGTCACACTCTTCTGGGAAATCAGGTGATTAGCAGAAGGTGCCAGCAGTGAGCAGGTGGTAGCCTGACAGGAAAGCTACCAAGCTTAAAGTGAACATTGTTCAGTGTGTTGTTAAAATTAAAAATACAGCCGGACATGATGGCACATGCCTGTAAGCCCTGCACGCTGGGAGACTGAGGCATGAGGATCATAAGTTCAAACCCAGCTTAGGCGTCTCAGTGAGACTCTGTGCCAAAATTAAAAAGGGCTGAGGATGTAGCTCAGTGTGAAGGTCCTGGGTTCAGTCCCTGTTACTACATAACAAACTAACAAAAAGCCGTAAGCACAAAACTGAAAGAGAAAAGCTCCACTGGACAAATATCCTTGTGTGTAAATAGCCCTTAGTGCTCATGAGAAAGATGGAGGGTGCCCCTGGAAAACGAGTGCCGGCCACACAGAAGCGTACGGACGGGACAGCAGGACTGCCTTGGAGGGTGCATGGCGTGGACACCTGTGCTGGTCCTTCAGGATGTGGTCTGCACCTGACGTGTGTTTACACGTGGTTGTGTAACTCGTCAGCTTGTCAGCTCACTGCTAGGGGTTTAAACTAGGAAGTCCCACACCACGTCCACCAGTGTCCTGCACGGAGGGCATGAGCTTGGCTGGGCAGCTGTTCCCTGGGTCTCTTGGTCCAGGGAGAAAGGCTGAGCTTGCCGCAGCAGCATGGCTCTGGGAGCGTCTGCCGGGTTCTCCCCACGGGCCCCTGTGGCCCCTGTGCCTCTTCTGGTACTCGGGAGCACTTCCCTCATGTGGAGGCTGCCTGGGCCCATTCTGTTGTCCTTCTGTGCCTGCTCACAGGGCTGCCCGGCCCTGCAGGGCCGTTGCTCTGCGGCTGTCCCTGGAGTCAGGCTCCACGGCAGGGTGGGGGCCCAGGTCGGGAGCTCGGTGGTCGCACTTCAGCGCTATGGTCCTGGAGTCACTAGGGCCCCCTCTGTCCCCTTGCTTAGTGACCTCCTGCTGGCAGTGCCTGCACATGAGGTCCTCTGCTGGCACTGCCATCTACCGCCAGATGAGAACTTCTGCAGCCACTGGAACACTGCCCCTCTCACGGCTGGTGGCCCTTGCTCCCCAGCTGCCTGCCTTCAGGTGTGGGGCCCTCGTGCGTACTTGCGGCTGACAGAAGCTGACAGCCAGCTCATTCCTCGCCCCCTCCCTCCCTGCCTGCTGCGGACCGAGCCAGGCTGGTGGAGAGCGGCTTGTGTGCCTGCTTGTGTGGGGCACAAGAGAGAGCGGAGACAACTGGAGCTTGTGTGGGGCCTAAGGAGAGGGCCGGGCTTGCTCAGAAATAATTTCCCGTCCTGTGACATGTGCTCTGCTGGGGCAGCAGGCTGTTAGGACTCCACAGGTGACTTCTAGAAAGCATTCAAAAGCTGTGAAATTTCAGGTCCTCTTAAATAAGATTCACCAGTGCCTCTGCAGGGTAGAAAGACGTCCAGCCAACTAGTAGGGTATGCGATTTTCCTTCTCTTTTTAAAAGCTCAGTGTAAACTTTCGTGCTTAAATTAAGGTTGATTATATTTTTCTAACTGATTTTCATAGACAATTAGGATTATAGTTTAAAAAAAAATTACAGTTTTGATTCAAAGTCTGCTTATCTACGTTTTCTCCTGACCTAAATTGACTTAATGAATTTGGTCATATTGTACGCTGTTTAAACTTGTCACAGGTAACAGTTACAGCCCTTTATAAAAGCCTGATAGGACCATCTTAACACAGTGACTTCTCTGTATAGATCAAAGCCATGCACAACAGAACTAACAAATGCAAAGGTAACTGTCCGCAGAAAGAAGCTTGACAATGAACTGTAGTTTTCCAAGTATGGGACATGATTGATGGGAGAAAATGTAACGTGCATCTGAGCAGGCACAGGACCTCAGCACCCCTGGGAAACAGCACCCTTTCACCCAGGTGCACCGCCCTAGCCCGGGCTAACGCCACAAGATGCTGCTACCTGAAAATTTGCACCAATCTGCTGAAGTTTCCCTTTTGAAAAGCTTTTTTAAAAAGCCAGTCATTAAGATGTCATGTTTCAGGAGCCCCTGTGCTTGCAAGCCCCTGGGGCGTGGCGTCCAGGCTCCTGGTGGCTGCCCCAGGGTGAGCTTGTCCCTGGGCCTTTCTTTCCTGGGATGATAACTGTGGTGCGTTAGAATTGTGCCTGACCTGCAGATTGTAACCTGGGAGCCTCGTTATTCCCGTGTCATTCTCTGAATATTGAAATGACAAATGTTGTGTGTTGTTTGTAGCATACTGAAAACTTCCTTGTCAAGGATTAAGGACTTGTGTGTAGAGTGAATAAGGAAAATGTACAGGGTTCCAACTGAGTGTGTGCCTAACCTTGGAGGTAGACAGAGCAGTCCTCAGCAGGGCAGGAAGCCAAGCAGCCTAAAGAGAGAAGCAGCTGCTCTCCTTATCCCTCGCTGCGAGGCCGCAAGCTTGCCTTTGAGGGGCGCCTGCGGCTCGGGTGCCTGTCGGCCTTTTTGCGCTGAGTGCCTTGTGTTTCTCTGTTTCAGTTTACTGAGAGAACACTCGATTGACGGCACTGGCTGGGCTCCCACAAGAACGCTGAAGGTGAGAGTTGGCTCCTTTGGGTCCCAGTCCCTCCCAGGGCCTCGTCCTTAGGCACCCATCTCCTGGGAGAGCAGCACACGGCCAGGTCATCTGGCTGGACATGAGTCTTTGGGGGTCAGCAGTAGTGGCGTCCAGGAGGCAGAGAGAAGCCTGGGGCAGGTGTCAGCCACGCCGCCAGCCACCACAGGAAACGCGTGGCCCTTATTACTCACAGGGATAGCTCAAGACCTAGGTGCTCAAGAGAAAGAGCTGCACACTGGCGTGGCGATCACTCCCTGTGGTCAGGGGACTATCACATGGTGGGCGACGGTCACCAGTGGGCACCATGAGCGCACAGTGCAGGAAGGGACCTTTGGACTGCCACCTGGTCTCAGGGAAACTGCTGACCTCACAGCACTGTGAGCCATTTCCTCCCAGGCTGCGGTCTCTGCCACACGGCAGCCCAGCTGGGCCTTCCTGCAACGCTTCGCCAGGCGGGGCCCTCTCCTCCTGCAGCCCTGCCCAGTGGCTGCCGCTGCCGCTGGAGCCTGTGCGCAGGGAGGGGGCACTAGCTTAGCCTACTGAGTGGCCCGCCTGGCCACCTCCTTCCTCACCAGACAAGGTGCTTGTCCTCCGCTCCCGCACTAGCCCTGGACAGCAGGAGTCGGGACCGGGTGGCCGGGGGAAGAGGAAAGGCAGGTGAGGGCAGGTGAGCTGCCAGCCAGCAGAGGATGGGTGCATCGTGAGAACCAGCTTACGAAGGGTGCACTCCAGCTGCTGCAGAGGCGGATGGACGGGACTCTGTGGTCACCACAAATCAAGAGTCAAGACAGACAGCAGCACTGGTTTCCAGTTCTATTTTAGTGAAAATGTCTGATCCTTGAGATGTGCACTTCCTTCAATCCTTAAAGGGAAGAAGGCAAAGGTGTTAAGAGGGTACTGGATATGGGCAGTTAGCCTGCCCGTGACCCTAAAGGCACAGTTGGTGTTAAAGGCTGCAGGATTTGTTTGAAAGTTGCTTGGCTGAAGGCTGAAGGCTGTGGTGGTGGCAGGCGGAGGGTTGCCGGTGGCGCTCAGGGTGCACATGAAGCTAGCGTGCTTGCTGCCGGGTCTGAGTGGGGCCGTGAGTGCCCCTTAGATTTTACTCATTCTATGACTCTGGGTCTTTTTATCTTCCCGGGGTTTGACAAAAGGTGCTTTCCAGGAGAAAGGTTGTTTTCATTTCCTGTCTTCAGGAAACACCGCCTGCTGAAGACAGGTTTTGATACGGAGCAAGACGTGTTTCTTGGTCCTGGGTTTAAGACTTCAGTGCACAGGAGCCTGAAAGTTGTTTTCTGTTTTCTGTTTCAGGATGTTGTTTGGGGATTAAACTCTTTATTCACTGTAAGTATATGGTTGCACACCCAGGTCCTTGCTTTCCCTGGCCTCAATTTGCATGGCACCTCAAGAGTAATAACTGGGGGGAGGGTCATGTGCACCCCCTGCACGCTTGGCCTCCTGCGTTGCTGTCATGCGTAGAAGTGGAGCTGTGACATGGGGACCAGGCACGGTGGGGCAGCCCTTTGTTTCTTGACTCATAAAAGGGCTTTTGGAGGAAAAAGTTTCAGTGGTCCCTCTCTGAGTCAAGAACCCCAGGTCCCTTGGGGAACGGCCCATCTTGGAGAGTCTGTGCATAGCCTCCTCTGGTGCCCCCAGGCCCAGTGCCCCTGCAGCAGTCCTCCTGCCCCCTCCTGCCCCTCGCCTCCTCCTGTCCTCTGGGGCAGCGCTGGGGACTGAACCCAGTACCTTCACACTGAGCTACATCCTCAGCCTTTTATTCTTTTATTTTGAGACAGAGTATTGCTAAGCTGTCCAGACAGGGCTCAAACTTTCAGTCCTCTTGCCTCAGCCTCCCAAAGTGCTGGGGTTCCAGGCATACACCATGCCTGGCTTGTATTCTTGTTTTTATGTTCAGCCAAAGCTAGCAGATCCTCAAGCTAAGCTGTGGAGATGTGGTGCGGCCCACCAGCTGCCATCTCCAAGTACTTCACAGTTGCCAACCCTAAAGAGTCAATCAAAAGTCTGAGTTCAGCCTATAGTGTTATTCTAATCAGTGTATTTTCTTAGGGCAAATATATGGTAAAGACAGTAAACAATTTCATATCTCTAACGTTGCCTTTCTATACATTAAGAATTGCATAAAATACACTTCGTTTTTTCGTTTCCTGACCTTGGAATCTAATTTTCCCACTCTGAATAACCACAGAGATTTGCCATTTTTCTTTGCTATGTTTCTGCTATATTACTGGTTACACACATACTTTCTCCAGATCAAGAATACAGTCTCCAAGAGTAATATAATTCCTAAAGAGGAACATGGCTGCCCTCGCTGTGCCCTGTCACTGTGGACACCGCAGCGGCTTCAGCAAATCTTGTTGGGTTGGAGGGGGAGGAGTGTGTGGGTGAGATGGGCCTCTGCTTCAAGTCCAGAGAGTTTCTGGTTAGGAGGAGAGGAGGCAGCCAGTGCTTCTGGGGGCAGGGGCGGGGGCGGGGGCAAGCCTGACAGTGCTGCCCACATTGATCTGGCTCTAGACCGAGGACACCCCAGGCTATGAGTGGTGTCAGAAGGTCAGTCAGGGAGGTCAGCAGGGTCAGGGAAGCCACCAGCACTCAGGGGCGCATGTGCCCGTCATTAAGGATGTTCAGAGGAACATGAATGTGTCTAAAAAGAGAACAGGTTTTTTATTTGGAAATACTCGTAGAAGTGGTTGGCTTTGTCCAATTATCCAAAATGGAAATTGATGTGACTATCACCCCGTCACCTGGGCTCAGGCAGCTGTGTGTAAACATCCCGGACTACCTCCCGCAGCTGCCAGCCACCACTGAAAGAATCCATGTGTTCTGTGCTCTTCCATCAGGACTGAGGACCCCAGGGAATCCTCAGCTCTCTCAGTCAGCCTGGCACTCGCTACTTAGACTCCTCTTGCTGCTTTGAGTGACGGTGCTCGACAGCAGGATAGTAGGTTGTTTCCAATGTGTACTCTGGCTTTCTCTCCTTTAAGGATCTTTTGAATTTTGATGACCCACTGAATATCGAAGCTGCAGAACATCACTTGCGGGACAAGGTAAGCTCATGACAGCTCCCTCCAGCCTGGCCCGCTGGGTAGAGAGACAGTGACCCTGTGGCCTGGAGGAGGGAGACGTGGAAAGCAGGGCATTGGAAAGGCGTGACATCACCTAGTGGGACCTTAGGAACTTGTGTCACCTGAGGCCAGAGAAACAGTTGGATCAGGTGTGATTTCCTGTAAGGGTCAGGATGAGTGGAGTGACACAGGCAGTGACTCCTTCCCCTTGGGAACAGGACAGGATGGGGAGTGTCCGGGCCAAGCCCCAGGGCCCCCACACCCTCCGCTGTGCCCTCCCGTACATGCTGGGTTTCACTTTTACCCAAATTGTGCAATCCTGTTCATTACTCTTAATCTTCGATTCCTTGTTTAAAAATTAACCCTTCCCTTCTAAGCCAATGCACAGAACTTTGCTTCATTTCAGCAGCTACCTTACATTCTGTAAGGTGGCTTTACCATAGCTTTGTTTAAAACCATTCTCTCTTTGGTGGGCATTCAGGTTTTTTTCCCCTGGGATATTTTTCCAGCTATAAGGGGTAAGTCAGTAAACTTTTGCTGTACTTCTATGCTTAAATGCTAGTGTTGTGTTCTTCCAGGGTCCTGGAAGTGGGGCCCTGGTGCAGAGGTGATGTGTGTCCTTAGCACAGCCCTTGTCGGGCTGTTTTCCATGCAGCACGAGTGCGCAGGCACCTACTTCCTCCTTCCCTCAGGAAACACCTTGGGGACCGGGGTTCCTCACTCAAAGGTGAGTGAACCCCTAGCCTAGGAGCATAGCTGTCAGTCTCCATCCGGCCTGCTCCGGGTGGATGTGAGATGCGTCAGCAGAACACCTGTTGAGAAGATTGTTTACCTAGAGGCAAAATGTCCAGGCCCTCTGGGAGAGAAGGGGCAGAGGAACCAAGCTAGTACTGTGGTTCCTGTCCCTGGAGGAGAGGGTGCAGGGCAGGGCCTGTCCCGTCTGATGAGAGGAGGCAGGGTGCTTTGTGGGCTCTGCACCAGCTCAGCTGCCCGCCACTTGCTTGCCCTGTGGGCTCTGAGCAGAGTTCTGGACGCCCTGGGGCTCAGAGCCTGAGCTTGGTTCCACACGCTGCTGGTCCTGCACCACAGCCTGGGGCCAGTGCACTGGCTCCTCCTGGGCCTGGCACTGGGCTTTACCCTGCTTACTCTGAGTGAGGCAAACAGAGGAAGGGCCTGGGCAGGAGCAACAGCCTTTTGTCCTGAGGTGGGACTTCAGGCCTTTGAGACACCCTCTGAGATTGCAGTGGCTCTGGGGACGCCGGATGTGGCCTTGAGGGGTGTTACGGTTTGTGTCTGAATGTCCCCCTAGAGCCTAATGGGGGTGGGCTTTTAGAGTCTGATTGATTCATGGTGCAATGCTGAAATTACGGATGTGAGGCAGGTGTGAGGCAGGTAGTTGGCATAGTGTAAAAGAGAAAAAGAGGCTGCTTGTTGCTGCTCCTCTCCTTTGCTCTTGCTGCTTTTGCTGTGTTCTGCCACCATAAATGGTTGCCCTCTGCCATGTGCCACTCTGCCTTAGAGCCAGCCAAATGTAGACTAAAACCCCCACAAAATGTGAGCTAAATCAACTTTTCTTCCCTTAATTTTGGGCGTTATATGTTTTGTCTCAGCAACAAAAAAAAAAGTAACTAAGACAGAATTTGGTACCAGGATTGGGGTTGTTGCTGTGACTATACTTGACCATGTGGTTCAAGAGCCTTTAAAAATGGCTTATGGGAAGTGTTTGAAAAGGTTCAGAGGTGTCACCTAGGAGAGTAGAGCTGGAACGCCTTCGTTCTGTGGGAGATTCTCCTCAGAGCTCACAACACCAGAAGACTGATAAAAATCCTGCCCACAAAGACCAGGTACAGGAGGTTTCTACTGGGAAGGACTGCATTGGGTGCTAGACTCCAGATGATACATGTTATGGTTTGGCAGAAAGTTTGTGTGCATTTTGCTAGTGTCCAAAGACTTTGCCTGAGACTAAGATTAAGGGCGTTGGACTAATTAATCTGGCAAAAAAAATTTCAAGACAGTTAAATGTTGAGACAGTGGCATGGCTATTATCGGGGGCTTTCAGCCAGATTTATGTTAAAAATCAAAAACAGAAGAGCCCAGTAGGATGATTTAAAATGTGAGTTTGGCTAAAGAAAAAGCTCTGGTAAAGCTATAGATTGCAAAGGTAAAATTAAAGAGATCTCCATTGCTAAAAATAAATAAATAAATAAATAAATAAATAAATAAATAAAAGTGATGGCCTGAGAGCATCACCAAAAATAGCAAGTCTCCACTCTGCAGCCTCAGAACTGCAGAGGTAAAGGCTTTGTTCTAAAAAAAAAAGCCACAGAGTGCCATGTTCCAAAATGGCAGCGGTGGCCACACCATGTTCCAAAATTGCAGCAGCGTAAAAAATTTGTTCCTCAAAATCAGGTTCAAAGTGCCCAGTGAGCCAAACACTTAAACCCTATGGCCAAAAAAAAAAAAAGCTTGGCTACTGCACCAGATGACAACAAACCTTAACATCATCCATGTGACACTAATTTTAAACACATACAAAATACAGGAGTTCTGAGGTTAAAAAAACTTCCACCTCAATTTCAAAAGGCCTAAGAGGCTAGATAGTGTGGCCCTAAAAAAATAATATATAAAGCTATAAATAAAAAGCCTAAACTACAATAAAAACCTCAAAAAATTAAAAAAGCCAAAATATAAATTGTCCCAAAAAAGCTACAAAAAACCTCCAAAGTGGGCCTAAAAAAACAGCTGTAAAAGCTACAACCACGAAAAGTGCCATAGAGATAGAGTCGTAGAAGCCCTTCAAAGCTCACGACGTGCCACAAATTGCTCCCAATGCTGAACATAGAACTACAAGACTCAATATTTGCCCTGCTAAGTTTTAGACTTGCTTTAGACCCATTCCTTTATATTCCCGTTTATAACGTTTAAAATAAAAATATTTATTTTGTGTCATTAAATATTAAAAATGTTTAACTTTTCATTTTTACAGGGGCTCACAGCTAAAAGTTTATCTTAAATCTCAAGAGGAGACTTAAGACTTACACTTTTCAATAATGCTAAACTATTAAGACTTTAACAACTCTTAACAATAGACTAAAATGCCTTTTACATAAAGAGATATATATGAGTCTTTGGGGGCCGAGGACAAAAGGGGCTTTTACTAGGGGCTGCTTTGTACACAGCCCCGTCAGAGGTGAACCAGGGGCTCTGCCGCAGCCGGGTCGGGGCAGGTTGAGGGGTTGGCAGCTGTCCCCCAGGGTGAGGGCGCAACCCATTTCTCACCCTGAGCGTGGGAGTGGTCCCAGAGCAAGGCTACCCTAGCCTGGAGCGGGTTCCTATGCTGGTTCAGTGTGTGGAGGGCAGGTGCCTGGTGCCTGGCTGGCTGGGTCAGTGACCCTGCAGAAAGGAGCAGCAGACGGGGTCTCCCACCTGAATGTGTGGCACCTTAGCATGCGCTGGCCCGGCCTGGCCCAGTGTGTGCCAGCTTAGCGTGCCCTGCATGGTACAGTCCAGGACGTGAACTGTGACAGCTGCTGTGTCCCCTGAACAATGAGGGCTGTGTGGCATTTCGAGTCACTTTTACCTCCGTCCTGTGAGAGTTTGCACTTAGCACTGGGACAGCAGATCTGGAACAAAGCTGGAGCAGCGGCCTGGATTGGAGAGAGCTGTCCTGCCAGCAGTGGTCTGGTGGAGTCCTGGGCTCCCACGGCCTTGACATCAGAGGCCCCAGGCACCCCGGTGGCCCGGGTTTCCTGCTGCTGAGGACAGAGAGCTCCAAGGATTCCTTCCCCAGGTGGGGTGGCCAGCCTGCAGGTGGGGCGGGCACATTCTGAGTAGGCAGCAAGCCCCAGGCGAGTCACACCGGAGACAGGGTCTCCCCGAGAGCAGCAGCCACAGTCGTCCTGTCTGCAGGCGGAGTCTGGACGCGCCCACACTGTGCCAGCTTTACCCTCCCATCTGCACAGTTAGGGATGGGCGGGCTCCTTGTAGGTTCTCTCTGCCCACACCTCACCTGCCCACCCCTGCACGGCAGTGTGGAACAGTGGCCCTTGGCCCTGCGTCTCCACTGGGCCTCTGCCCGGAGGTCTCACTCTTCCTGCTCCCTCCACAGGAGGACTTCCGGAACAAAGTGGACGACTACATCAAGCGCTACGCCAGATGATGAGGAGGACGCTGCGGCCAGGGGCCACGCAGCCCTGCTCCCGTCCTCGTGCCCCTCTGCCCCGAGGCTCGTCCCTGTCCTGCGGCTGCCCTGTCCTGGCGAAGACGTCCTCCTGACTGCCCACTGTAGATGGGGAGTGCAGCATAAATACAGCAGGAAAGTGTGTCTGGCTCTAGAGCGTTGTCTGCTTCCCTTAACGTGTTTACTTTCCCGAAACTGCTGTCTAGGCTGGCAGGGAACCGGAGGCGGCCATCCTGAACTCAGCCTCTGGCTCGAGCTTGCTCCCCGCCCCCGCCAGGGGGAGCCGCGCGGGGATGGACGGGCGCGCCCAGTGTCCTTGCAGATGGGCAAGAAGAGCCCGTGCAAACTGACCGGATGCACATTCTCTTAGCTCCCTCCGTGAATGCTGGCCCTGCCTAGATGTGATGCTTCCCAGAATGCACAGCCATTCACTGTAGCTCTTACTGAAATGCGCATTTTATTTAATGTAAGTATATTTTGGAACAGATTTGTAATTTGTACAATTTAATGCTTTTATTTTTTTCTACTCACTCAGTTTGTATTTTCATTGTATAGAGCAGACAGAAAGCTGTGGGGTCCAGCAGCCTCTGAGGAGACACACAAAGCAGCTCTGAAAGCCACATTACTCGTTCTGTCCAAACACAGCTGGGTCTGCTCGTAAACACCAGCTCTTGTTTTTGGGTCCAGAGGTGGCCAGGACGTCTCGGAGCCCTTTGAAGTTGTTCTAGATGATAAAAATCACAAAAAGGCAGGGAATCATTTCTCCCATGTCCCTGGGAGAAGTGGGCTGGGGCTTGGGCCAGGCAGGGCTTGGCGGTTCTGCAGTGGTCATGGGATTGGGGTCAGTAGCTGCTTGTCAGAGTGCCAGGCCTTCCCAAGGGGCAAGGGACTCTCAAGTGACTGGCCCACACCAGCCTGATGCACCGAGCCTGCGCGGCAAGGGCCTGTCGGGTACCCGGAGGGCTTGGAGGGCTTGGAGGGCCGGGCATCTACAGGGCTGGTGCGGTGCTTGGTAGGTAGAGCCCTGCAGACAGGAAGTGGGTTCACTCTGGCCTTTAGACCTCCAGACAGTGCAGTCAAATGCAAAATAAATGTGTGTCCGGTTTCATGTGCTGCCTGCCCTCTGGCTGCCAGCTCCAGGGCTCAGGTTGCCGTTCTTAAAGAGAAACTCTGGCGGTGAGAAGGGAACGGGCGTCTCAGCATCTGGGAAACCCACATGGGCTAGAGAGACTGTGATGTTTCCAGCCCGCCTCTGAGACACCGCCTTCTGGCTGCACCACCACACACCTGCTTTGGCCGCTGGTACCCAGGGCTGGGCCTGCCTGGTGGGACTTTCTCCTGAGCGCACCTGTAGAAGGACGCATGCCTGTGCCCATCACTCCATGGATAGGTGTGTTCCGTGCAGGTAAAAGACTGCTCTCTGGACTACACTCAGAGCAGAGTCCAGTCACAGGTTCTGACTGCAGAGTGTGCTGTAGAAAAATCCTGTCTTCATTATCAGAGATTAACTCTTAAAATGACGTTTCAAAGCTGGGCACAGTGGCACATGTGTGTCTGTGACTCCAGCACTCAGGAGGCTGAGGCAGGAGGGTCATTGGGAGTTCAAGGGCAGCATGAGACACAGTGAGGGCCTGTCTTGAGAAAAAGAGGCTTCCAGATAGCTGAGTCATCTGTTCTGCACAGCAGAAATCCAGACATACGGGGCCTGGGATCTGCTGTTGTCTTTGGGGCTCCCAGTTCCAGAATCCTGGCTTCCTGGGGTCTCTACACTCTCAGGCCAAAGCAGCACCCCAGGCTCTGCGCCACATGCCCCTGGCTGACCTGTCCTATTGGGAATCTGGGCAGCTGGGCACCCCACTGAGTGCCCAAGACCGCTGCCTCCTGGCCCTGAGCTCCCACCTGTGCTCTGCTTATGTCAGCATCAGTGCGCATGGCCTGCTCCTCAAAGGACCGGCCTGCAGGCTAGCCCCGCCCCCAGGCTCGCGCCTCGGACCCTCCCTGCACACACGCACCAGCAGTGGACCCGATGCCGAGCAGCCTTTCTGAGGGGCGAGGCAGGATGGCTGCTGCTCAGGTGGGGAACCTGGGTCTCAGCTGGGCACCCTGGCCCTTGCCCTTGGTCGGCTTTCTCATTTGCTGTCTTCGGGGTGTTCACTGGGGACCACAGGAAGCTGAACCTTGGTTTAGGGTTGGTCACCTGTCTGAGCACCAGTGCCCAGCGGGCCCATGGTTTCTTCCAGGCACTTGCAGCCGGGGTCACCGCTTACACATCTCGTGGGAACAGCTGAGCGTGTGTCCTCAGGACAGCCCTCACCACCGCCCTTCCCTAAAGCTCCACCAGGAAAGCTCACAAAGCTGGGGCCCGGCCCGTGCCCCTCAGTGCGCCCCACAAGCAGGACACGTCGATGCGCCTCCCTCTTCCCTGACAGGTCCTAAAATAAGTCCTGCCTCCTGTGCACCTCAGCCTTCGCTGGGAGTCGAGTCAAGCAGGCTTTTTTTCGCCCAGAAATTCCACTGAGTTTTTGGCAGGCTCCAGCTCGTGTGCTGTTTATCCCAAGGTTGTTTCCATCTTTATCTGCCTGAGAATATTCAATCTTAGAGATTCAGATTTATCAGTATTTCACTATTTTTCATAAAACATACTGAGTAAAATGTTACAGTGTACTTAGCGAAATGTTTTACTGTTCATTTGCCAAAGAATGTGGAAAATGACAAAAACTGTGCCTAGCCCTCCAGTACCTGCCCTCAGCAGGAAGCACCTGAACAGCTCACAGGGCCTCAAGGAGCCCGTGCTTGCCATCCACCTTCCTCTGCCCTGGCCCATGGGTTACCAGAGTTGATTTACTGAACAAATTAATGGTTTGAGAAAACTCTAAAGAAAGCCCCGTGGTAGCCAGGTGTTGTAGCGCACACCTGTAATCCAGCACTGGATTACGGCTTAAGCAAAAGTTGGAGGCCAGCCTGGAGTGTATCATGAGGCTGTCTCAGAACACCGGCCACCTTGGGTGGAGCGTTTGCAGGCCTCTGTGCAGGTGTACAAAGAACTCCTCAGAACCTTGGCTTTGTGCTCACCTGTTTACACTGCCAGGGTCCTCCAGCCAGCTCTTCCCGTCAGCTCGCTGAACTTCTAGCTCACGTCAGTGCCGGCTGTGCACGCGAGGCCCCAGGGCTGGAGGACAGATGGCTCCAACCGGTGCCTCCGGCACCACAGCTGCAGGGCTTCGTGGCTGCCCGCAGGCAGGCACGCACGCACGAGTGACCATGAGTGGCAGAGGTCCGGGAAGCCCACCGTGCACCCCGCTCTGGCGACAGCAGGATCCCTGGCAGTTCTGTGTCCAGGTTCTGTGGCCTTTCCACCTCCGTGCGACCTGTCAGTCAGTCCCCTGGCACGCGGCACTGGAAGGTCATTCGCACTCATTCGCTGCATCTTGTTAAAACATGACTCCCAGCGCAGTGCGCCTGGTTCCGTGTTCTTTTGCCTACCCCGCCGGCTGAGGCTGAGACACCACGGCAGGGAGCAGCACCGAGGGTGAAGGGCCTGCATTCTGCCTCTGACAAGCTGCAGCGCAGTCAGGGAACAGATGCACCGGCTTCCTGGCCAAGAAGACTCGTGTCAGGGGGCCCTGTCGGTGCAGGGGGAGCTAGCCTGTCTCAGTCACTTTCCGCAGCACAGGGTGCAAGTTCAAGAAGGAGCGGTTTACTCTGCCTCATGGTTTAGTCCACGCACAGCTGGCTCCATGGCAGAAACAGGGTGGCAGAGGACAGCTGCTCATGGCGTGGTAGTGGCCAGCAAGCAGGCCAGGAGGTGCCGGAGACAGGCGCTCCCTCTCATCTGGCCTGCCTCCTTCCACAGGACAGCTCTGGGCACGGTGGGCACGCCCCCGATGAGCACCGTGCCACCATAGTCCGGGCACCTGGGAGGAGCCAGAGAGAGCAGCAGGGGAGGCAGGGTCCCACTAAACTGCAGAGAGGAAGACAGATGCCAGTCATGAACTCCGCATCCAGCACCTCCTTCAGGAAAGATACCAAAATCAAGATCTCAGATGAAGTAAGATGAATGTCTGTGAAGACCAATTAAAGCAAGATCTGTAAACAAGGGAGATGATAGGGACTTTTATGTCACAGATAATGATCAAATGAAAATCATACTATCTGATGGTCCAAAGAGTGCTACTGAGAAGTAGAGGGGAAAAAACAGGAAATCCAGGCATGTATGTGCAGACAAGGTTCCTCACTGTGAGAGTCAGCCACCAACTCGATGTGTGGGAATGTTCAAGCCCAGCCCAGGGGGCAGGGACTCACGGGGACTCTGCCGCAGTACCCGAGAGAAGCTCTGTGGGAAGGCCCAGGGTTCAGTGCGCGGTACCGCAGCGCTAGGACACTTGGGACACGAGTGAGATCAGCGGACTCGGCATCAACACCCTGGTAGTGGTCAGAGATGTAACCATTATGGAAAACCAGGTAAAGGATCTTGTCACATCTGCATATAAATCTACAGTGATCTCAACAGTTTTCAGTTAAAAAGATCCTGCGCCCAGCACAATAAAATGCCCAGTGTGTGTCATTCAATAAAAAACTACAGGGCTGAGGATGTAGCTCAGCAGCGCAGTGCCTGCCTGGGAAGCATGAGGCTGTGAGTTCAATTCCTGGGACCAAAAAACCACAATTCTATAAAGTGTGCAAAGAAGCAAACATGGCCCATGGCTACTGGGCGGAAGTAGTAGAAAGGGACCCAGAATAACCAGTGTGCAAATGACAAGTATGGGCGGTAAGAGCAGGAACAGTTTAAGAAGGTGGAGAACATGCAGGGAAAATTCAGTGCCAGAAGGAAACTACACACCAGTGGTGAGACGGAAAGTTTAGCGAGAGCGGAGGCTGCACAGGGAAAGGTCGCGAACGTGAAGACACGGCACTCACACCCAGAGTGGAGGGGAAACGGCCCAGGGCCCTCCAACACGCAGGGCTCAGCAAGCTGCACCTGGGGTGCCTGATCAGCACATATTCCCAAAAAGTGGAGAAGTATCTAGAAAAAACAGACTGCAAACCGATGAACATGAGACCCATTGATGCGGAAAGCCCGACGCACCCAGAACACGAGCACAGGAAGAGAAGCCCTCCACGTCGCACTGAGTAAGACTGCTTGAAGTCTGTGATAGAGCAAAACCACAGAGGCAGACGAGGAAACAAACCAAGACCGTGGGAAAGGGAGACAGCAGATTCCTCACCGCAGACAGTGCAAGCGGGAATGCAGAGGTCTGCGCAGTGCTGAGAGAAAACAGGCCCGAGCTCCGTCTAGAGACTCACAGGTGAAGGCAGAGACGGCACTTTACAGCCTGGCGTGGTGGCGCATGCCTGTACTCCCCGCACTTGGGAGCCTGAGGCAGGAAGACCGCACAAGGTCGAGATCAGCCTGGGCTATGCATCAAGACCCTGTCTCAGAGACAGCGGGGGAAAACAGTAAACAAGCTGTTACACACCTATAAAAGCGAAAACCAGTGCCAGTGACTACCGCTTCTAGGAGTTTCTGGAGTTAGTTCAGGGTCTTACCTCTATCAATCTCGCCCTACCGCGGGTGCCAGTGCACTGCTGCCGGGCAGCCAGAGCAGGCCAGGGTGTTGGGCAGCATAGACAGCATCTACTCCCTGCAAGCCGTGGCACCCCCACAGGCAGGGCCGGGACTGTGTCCAACAGTGCCCTGCTCCATCCGCAGGGACTCCTCTCCCACAGATGTATTTCTGAGCCTGTTACAGAGCAGGAGGCCCTGGGCCCCGGCGTTCAGGTCACTGATTCATCACTCAGCTGTGGACATGCTGCTCCTGGGCCCACCTGCTGAGCAGTTTTGCTTTTCAAATATAGACTTTGTTTTAGAACATTTTAGGCTCACATCAAAGTTGTGCACACCTGTCATCCCAGCACTTGGGAAGCTGAGGCAGGTGGATCCCTGTGAATTTGAGTCCAGCCTGGACTACATAGTGAGGCTCTGTCTCAAGAAATAAAATTTTGCAGAGCTAGCACACCCTGCCTGTCCCAGGACACAACCTCCAGCTGTCAGCATCTGCAGCAGGACACCTGTCACAGCTGATGAGCCCACCGAGTCATCACCATTGCCCAGAGGCCAAGTTTACATCTGGGGTCGCTCTTGGGGTTGTACACTGTATGAGTCTGACAAAGACATGACATGCCCACTACTGTAGAGGTGTACAAAATACTTTCACTTCCCTAAAACCTCTGCGCTCCCCCTGTTCTCTTCAGGTTTGTTTGCAACAGGCTTTCATTCTGTAGCCCAGCCTGGCCTCACACTCCCGGCGAGCCTCTTGCCTCAGCCTCCCGAGCACTGGGATTGCAGGCGTGCGCCACCACACCCCCTTGTGTGCCTTTCGGACTTTGCCAGCCTTTCCAGGAAAGCACATTTTCCCGTGCGCTTTCTTCACCGCAGGTTCCTCCCACCTCTCCTTTTCCTCCCAGGGCTGTGGCTGAACCTGAGCACCAGAGCCGCTCCAGGTCCCGGCTGCTTTTGCCTCTGTGTCCCCTTCCTCCTGCCGGCTGCCCGTGGCTACTGGCCGCCTCTGGCCAGAATGAGCTCGGGTAGTGGCAGTAAGCAGAGTCCAGGACGGAAAGCGCCGCCCGCCCGCCCGGAGTCAGGTTCGTCTGGCCCCGGCGGGAGGCGGCGTGCAAAGCTCTCTGCAGAGCGGCCCGTTTCAGTACTGGCCCCGCCGCCCACTGCGTGCTCGCGGGCAGGGTCGTGAGCTCGCGTGCGTCAGTTTCCTCTTCTATAAAATGGGGTGGCACGCCCACCCGACGACAGTCCTCAAGGTTAAATTAGTGCGTTTGTCGTGCTTGGCCCAACCCCGGCCTCGGGGGCAGAAACCACTGTTCCCGAGGCGGGCGTCTTAGAACCCGGCTTCGGGTCGCTCCTCACCGCACAGCTGACTTCCCAGCCAGCTCGCGCGACGGCCCCAAACGACCACCTTCCTCCCCGTCCCAGACAGAGGCACCAACACCTCGGTCACCTGGGTCACCCTTCCCCTCCCTCTTCCTCGGCCCCACGCCCGCCACATGCCCGGATTATTTGCCCGCCTGTCTATCCCAGCTCAGCAACAGATGGCTTCTCTGCAGCCTCAAATCCCTCGCAAGGAATGGTGGTTCCGTTTCACTCCATCAAACTCGCCCAGGAAAGGTCGGGTCCTCGCCCGGGGGAATCGCACTTCTACAGGGCACCTGGTTCTAGGTGAGCAAGGCGCCTGTCGTCTTCGGGAGACGCCAAGCGGTGCTCTGCCCCTGCAGTCTCGCGTGCAGTCTCAGCTGCTGCCGCGCCAAACGTTGCACGGCGCATCCTGGCACTTTTCTCCAGGCCAAGTTTGCAACATAAGTGGAGCTGCATGGCCCGGCTTTCATAGCGCTCAAGGTCCGGTGGAGAGGCGAACGGAGGCAAGCGAGCACCGCAGCTCCCAGGCCCGGTCTCCGGTGACCGTAGCGCACCTGAAAGTGGGAGCGGAGGCCTTGTCTGACCAGCGCTAGCCTCCACGGGTCCCGCCCCCAGCTGTCACCTGACCGCGTGCAGCCAATCAGCCATCTCTTTCTCCTCCACCTCCCTCTGGACGGCGGGGATTGGCTGAAGGCGAGCCCTTCAGCCAATCCGAGAGCGGCTCCGCTTCCTCCCCGCGGCGCTCGGGCCCCCCAGCTCGCGCACGGGTGGCTGTTCGGGGGCAGTGGAGTCGCGATGGCGGCGCCGGCGCCGGCGAGGGCCGCGCGGGGACGGGGATGCGCGGGGAGCCTGCTGGGCGGCCGCCGAGAGAAGAGCCCGCCGGAGAGGTGCGCCCCTCCCTGAAGCCCTGGGGCCACGGGGCGAGGTGCCAAGAGGGGCGGCCGGGGCCCGGGGGCTCCCTCGGGGCGGGGTTGTCCCCGCCGGGGCGGGTCACAGGGTCGGGGTCATCTCCGGGCCGGAGTGGTCACTCGGGCCGGGGTTCCCATTCGTGGTCGGAGTCACTCCGGGGCTCGGGGCTCGCTCGGGTGCGGTTCCCTGGCCGGCGTGTCTCCCGGGAGTCCCTAACGCGGCCGCGGAGAGGAGGCGTCCCGGAGGGGAGAGCCGGGGCGCGGGCCGGCCGGCAGCCCCCGAGCCTTCCTTCTGGGCGGGAGTTACTTCTCGGTTGGAGACGCCGGCCGCTTCCTGGGGAGACGGCCGGGCGGGCGTGGGGCAGGGGAGGGAGCGGGCCCCCGGGTCCTTCCGCGACGAACTGCGGCGTGGGCGACCCTGCGGGGACGGGGGCGCTCAGGCTGGTGCTGAGGTCCCCAGGCTCTGGACGGCGCCGCGCACATCCCTGTTGGAATCGCGTGCTCCAGGCGAGGAGGGAGGGCAGGGAGGGCTTTTCCTCTTTGCACGCCTCCCTCCCCAGCCTGCGCGGTGGGGCTGTGCGCGTGCCGGCGTGTGTGTGCGCGCGCTTGCATGCCCACGTGTGTGTGTCTTTCCCGTGCAGTTCAGGTCGCACTTTAAGGAAGTAGCGTGTAGTGGGGCGGAGTCGGCTCTAAAATATTAATCCCAACTGCAGCCACAGATTAGCTCAGCGGTCGCTCAGCAGTAGGAGCTTGGGGCGCCTTGCAGCCCCTCTTTACAGGAAACAACAGCCGAGGCCCGCGGGTACTAAGACGGTCCCCGCGGCACCAGTCAGAGAGGACTCCGGAGCCCCACGATCCATCGATCGGCTCTCACAGCCTATAGCGAAGTGGGCGCGCGGGAGTTAGCCGCACATTGTGCCGGTCTACGGCTTTTGAGAAGACCGTGTACGGTGCCTAAGTGACATCCGCGGAGGGGGACTGGTCGGCGTGCACAGCACAGCGTCCTTATTTTTCCATCCCCTCCCCTCCAGTCTCCAGCCAGCTAATAATCGTATCTGTGTGTTCGTGTGGGTGGCTTTATAGGCTGTCATGGACTTTAAACTCAAGTAAAGTAAGGACTGGTGTCAGGCATGGCGGCCTCCAAAGCTAGCGCTGCAGGTTCTGGAACTGGTAAAAAGGTTCCCAGAGAAACTCTGCTCAGTGCTGGCGCCTTCTGCTGGATCTGTGGCACATCTTCTTTGCCGCACGTGGCACATTGGTGGCAGGCAGGACCCAGCGGCGCCTCTCGTGCTCTGCTGAGCGCACACGGGCCAGGGAGTACAAGCCTGGGGAGGACAGGTGCTGAGTCACACAGCCAGCCCAGAGCAGGCCGGGAGGACGACCTAGACCACAGGTGGGTGGCAGTCATTCTAGGCAAGGATGCCCTAGGAGAAGGCCTGGGCAGGAAGTGGATGCTCACAGCCCTGGCGCCTCGGCAGCTGCCCAGGAATAAGGAAAGCTACTGGCGGAGATCGGGAGCCCGTGAGAAATTCCTTTGCAGCCCTTGGGAGGGTGATCCAGGCCCCCACACCTTATCCTACCCAGGGGAGAGAGAGACTGTGAACTTCTGCATGTGTAAAAACACAACAGCCGGGTGTGGTGGTGCATGCCTGTAATCCCAACACTTGGGGGGCTGAGGCAGGAGGATCACTGGAAGATGGAGGCCACCCTTGGTTACATAGCCAGTTCAAGGCCAGTCTGGACTACATAGGGAGACCTTGTCTCAAAGAAACAAACAACAAAAAAAACACCACAACTGGCAAAGAGCAGACTGCTAGAACTCATGCTTCCAAGTCCCATGGCTGAGGGAACCCTGGAGCCCCTGTTGGTCCAGCCTGGCCCTTCCCTCCCAAGGTGCCCCTGCTTTCCTCCCCAGGAAGGTGTACATGGACTACAACGCGACCACTCCCCTGGAGCCAGAGGTCATCCGGGTCATGACGGAGGCCATGCAGGAAGCCTGGGGGAACCCCAGCAGCCCCTACCCAGCAGGTAATGGGGAACTGATGTCCCAACACTTCCTGCTAACTGCACATCTCTGGCTGTAAGTTTGGGTCTTCCTTTTTTCCGAGAAGTTCGGTTTTGTAAACTGACCTCGCCAATACCGTAATCTTTAGCTTGCAGTGTTCAATCTTTGACATGCGCTCGTGTCGCCTTGGCCAGATTGAAAAGGTCTGGGACGCAGGGGAAGAGGCGCACGGATAAACTGCCGCCCAGAGCCGTGCACATGCTATGGAGCCAGGAAGCTGGCCCTCCGCAGCCGGCAGGCCAAGCACGCTGTCACAGCGCCATAGCCACTTACCGTCCTGGCTTTTTGTAAAAGTGAAAGTTGCTTTTAAATCCTTGCCTCTAGTTGTAGGTATTCTTACTGACCTTTTGGTGGAACCTTCTGATGGCGACCTTTAAACCGGAGAGTTTGGAAACCAAGTTGCCTCGGGTCCGTGGCACCGTGGCAGCATCGCACTGTTTTCAGGCAGGCAGGCCAAAGTCTTCCCTTTCCTGTGTAACGTTTGGGGTGACTGTCAGCACCACAGGTTCCCGTGGGGTCCGGCCGGAGCTACAGCCCGGGAGGACAGCGGCCTCCTGCTCACACGGGAAGGGCGAGTCACACGGATGTGCGCGTGATTTCACTGTTGTCCCTCCCAGACCTGAAAGTGCGTGCCTGGGCTAGTGTGGAAGGAACCTCACACGGTTCCGCTGTGAGACAGATAGCCCATATAACAGCGGCCTACGCAGCTTGCGGGTGGTTTCTCACGTGCGGTCAGGGCCCGTGGCGTGCTCCCTGTTACCAGGGATGGGCTCGTCCTGTCTTCCTGTTCCATCCTCAGAGTACCTGCAATCCTTGTGGTCAAGGTGGCTGCTCCGGCTCAAGCCATCATGTCAGTAGTCCTGCCTGTGGAGGGAGAAAGGTATACCTGCATCGTAAAAGGACACAGCTAGCAGGTGCATGTGACCCTGTCCAGAGCTGGGCTCCATGGCCACACGTAATGGAAGTTTGGAAATGCAGTCTCAATCCCGGGCAGGCTGGCTGGCTGGAACTGAGGGCCGCGCCGCCTGGGAGGTGTGCGGACCCCGGCAGCTCAGCGCAGGCGGCCTGTGGTGCCCTGCCCTCTGCTGCTCCTTCCGGGTCTGCACCTGCTTCTGCGGACCGTGCCGGGCCCTGTGCAGCGGGTCTGATCTGGCGCTTCAGTTCTGCATGCACTCTGTCGGCAAGGCCTGGGAGGTCAGCAGTGGAGCAGGCGCCCTTCCAGGTGCACAGGTGAAGGCCGGCTCAGAGCGTCAGGGGACCTGGCTGGTCCCAGAGGGAAGGGGTCAGGACTTTTCCCACCATACCTACTACTCTTGCTGCAGTCAGAACGCCTGTAATCCCAGCCCTCTGGGAGGCTGAGGCAGGAAGACCTCAAGTTCAAGTCCAGCCTGGGGAGTTTGTTTTAGCAGTTTAGTGAGACCCCATCTGAAAGTAATAAAAAGAAGGGTTGGGGGTGTGGCTCAGTGTGCAGGCCTTGGTTGGGGTCAGTGCCAGTACCACAAAGAAGTTAGAGGAAAGGCGGGGAGGGGATGAGAAATCCCACAAGTGTCTGCTGGTGCTCGGGACAGTTCAGGGCTGGGTGTTGCACGGAGCAGTGACATCCGTGGGAGGGCGGTCAGCAGGGCTGCCAGGCGGCCCCCAGGGGAGGCAGGACCCGAGCGAGGAGCAGGGGCCTTGCCACGCTGGTTAGAATGCTCATCACTTATCAGTACACCGCCCCGGAGCGGCACCGTCTACCACTCAGTGAGCGCTGTGAACGGCTTTAAGGGTATGATAATTTATTTGCATATTTATGTTTACCTCATTTTTACACAGACTTTATGGTATTTTATGTATGTTTTAGTCCTGCCTGCTCAAATATTTTTCACAAATACGATTAGATAGTTCCGGGCATGGTGGTGCCCACCTGTGATGCCAGCACTTGGGAGGCTGAGGCCCCAGGAACGCTACAAGTTGAGGCCAGCCTGGGCTACGTAGTAAGGCCTTGTCTTAGCCAAAAACAAAGGACTGGATAAGAAGGTTCTAGAGACAACTGGTCCCTTGCCCGACAGTGGCCGCTGGAACCATCGTAGCTCCCAGAGCCACTGTCACCAGGGGGCTTGGCTGCTGTGTGGCTCTCCTGCCTCGGGACAGTGCCGAGCGGGACAGGAGCCCTGCCTGGGAGCAGAGCCACCTCACACAGTGGCCGCCACTCCCCGGGGCCCGCGTGTACCAGGGGGCACGGCGCCGGGGTGCGAGGTGGGCTCTCCCTGTCTTGCAGTGCGATCTCACGTCACTGCCTCCTGCCCTCCTCCTGGCCGACGGCCACCACCCTCTCCTCGTGCGTGGTAAGAGGAGGGCCGTGGGCCGGGGACATAGGGCTCCCCAGCGTCTGCCCGTCTCTGTGTGGCTCTCACTGAGCGCCTGGAGTCTCAGCGGCCGTCACTGGCTGCTGACACCTGCCACCGTCCCGCCGTCGCCGCAGGTGGTAGCGCGTCTCCCTTAGATGTCTCGTGCCTCTGCGTGTCCCGCTGTGTCACAGCGCCCACGGGCGGGAGGCGGTGCTGGGAGGAGGTGGTGGTGATAGGCTCCTGTTTCCGTCCCTCAAGGTCGAAAGGCCAAGGACGTCATCGCCTCGTCTCGGGAGGCCCTGGCGCGCATGCTGGGCGGGAAGCCTCAGGACATCATCTTCACCTCTGGGGGCACCGAGGTAAGTCCGCGTCTGCGCCCTCCGCTGTCCGCTGAGCGCGCTGCTCCCAGTGGCTGCTCCTGGTACCACCGCTAGTTTTTAGGACAGTAACACTCAACCCTTTTGTGGAATCTCCCAGACGAACTCCTGCAGCAGTGCAGAAGACCAAGGGCGTCTGAGGGCGTCTGAGGCACCCGGAAAGCCGCACAGAGCTCTCATCGCCCAGCCGGGGTGGACGGTTGATCAGGGACAGCCGCGTGTGGGTGGACACGGGCCACCGCCCGGGGTGACCGTGCACTCTGATGGCCAGGCCCGCTGTTGTCGGGTGCAGTTGTGACAGAGCCCTCACCCTGAGGCCGGGTGGCCGACGGCCAGCACCCCTGGAGGCTGAGGTGCAGCGACGGGCTCGCGGGGCCGCTCACACGGCAGTAGCTGCGGGAGGAAGGCTGGGTTGTGAAAGCCGCATTTGTAAGCCTGGGCTGGCGAGCCCCCGTCCCCGTGAAGTGATGGGTCTCCACGGAGAGCCAGTGCCCGTCACCCAGGGAAGCCACGAGTCCTGTCACAAGGAAAATGGCGCGCCAGCTGGGCCCAGCGCAGGGCAGCGGGAGGAAAGCGGGAAGACAGCGGGCAGCGGGAGGAGGTGTTCGCTACCTAGGTGACAGGGACGCGGGCGTGCGCGGCGCCTCTGCCCAGCGTCAGGGTCGGGACCACGCGGTCTGAGTCACCATGCGCAGTGGCACAGGCGTGGCGGCGAGGGCTGCTGGTGCCCCGCGTGGCCTGCAGAGCCTCCTGGCCGCACACCCACACGGCCCCCGCGGGCGTGTGCAGTGCGCGGCACCGACACGCTCGTCCCTGGCAGCCGCGTCCTGTGCGTCTCCTCCCGGCCACTGCGCGTGGGTGAGCACAGCCCTGCGTCGGGCAAGGATGTCACCGCCCCTCGGGTCGTGTCTGTGGGTCTCTCCTGTGGGCCCTGGTCCCTGTATCATCAGAGGACCTTTCCTTGGGATTTCAGGGCCACTGCAGCCACGAAGACCCTCAAGGCCCGGCTCTTCCAGACCCAGAGCCGCTGTGTGTGTTTTGTCTCTTTTTTGTGGGGGGTGTTCTGTTTGGTTTTGGTTTTGGTTTTTTGAGACGGGGTCTTGGCATGTAGTCCAGGCAGATCTTGAACTCACTGTGTAGCCCATGCTGGCTTCAAACTCTCATAAGTCCTCCTGCCTCAGCCTCCCAAGTGCTGGGATTATAGGCGTGTGCCACCACATCTGGCTCTGGAGTTTGTGTTTTCTGCTAGGCCGTGACTGGGCCTTTGAAGCAGCCCCTCACCTTTGTAAAGACATCCGTGTCCCCATTGCTGGCCATGTCCTCACCTCCCTCACGTGCGGAGTACCCTGTTGGCATCCCAGCCCCTCCGCCGCTGCAGGCGCACTCGGACTGCAGGTGACAGTGGAGCCTCCAGACACAGCCTGGCAAGCAGAGGGACCTGGCACCAAGGGGCATCAACAAGCTCCCCCTGGGTGTGTGCTCCGTGAATAGACTGAATCTTTAACTTCAAAGAAAATTCAGCTTGATTTCAGTTATTGGAATCCCAGTACCAGGGAGGCTGAGGCAGGAGAATCACCTCGAGTTCAAGGCCAGCTGGGCTACGTCCTGAGACGCTGTTGAAAAAAACGAAAACAAAGATCAAAGCCAGACCAGACATTGGTCAGGGAGGCTTTCTCCAGAAGTAAGGGCATAAAGAAAGCGAGGAAACAGTGCCCTGGGAGTCTGGGGTGCTGAGCTCTGAGGGGAGGGGCTGGAGGACAGGAGGGGCCTCCTTTGTACCTCGCACCCGTTCTGCTGTATTGACAGTCACGGGAAGTGGCGGCTGCGTGAGTTGTCCTCGCCCCGTCCCTCAGTCCCCCACTTCCTCTCCCTCCTGGAGGCCGAGCAGAGAGCCTCGGTGTGACAAGCGAAGCAGCAGAGACTTCCTCCCCTTCTGCCTTGTCAGGGTGGTGTTTTTGCAGATGTGTCTGCAGCCCTTCTGTACAGTGGTAGGATGCTGCCAGTCACGTTTGCTGCCTTTTCATGCGTGAGCACGCGGTCACCCTGTGGTGCTCCGCGGCTCCCAAACCTGTCCAGTTTAGAACTTGCTGCATTTTGATACAGAAATGTTGTTCTGGTCCTCAGCCTGAGTGGGCAGTGCGCTACCGTTCAAGCGAACCATTCGTCGGGTGTGGGTGGGTTTGGGCGCTGGCCCAGCCTCCGGAGCTAGCCACCGCTGACTGAGGCCTCTGAACGGTGAGGGTGAGCGCGGAGGGCGCTCCCGGGGGCTTCTGCGCAGCTGGGGTGCTCCACAGCAGGGCACGCCTGGCTGCAGTTCTTTGCCAGGGTGAGACTCGAGTGAGGGCGAGGCCCGTCTGTGTGAGAGCGCCCTCTGCTGTCTCTGCAGTCCAATAACCTAGTGATCCACTCGGCCGTGAAGCACTTCCAGGAGACCCAGGGGCCCAAGGGGGAGCAGCAGAGCCCGGGGGAGCGGGCCAGGCCCCACATCGTCACCTGCACCGTGGAGCACGACTCCATCCGTCTGCCGCTGGAGCACCTGGTGGAGGAGCAGGTGGCCGGTGAGTGGACGCGGGGACCACAGGCGACTTCCCTTCCGAGGGTAACCTGGGTTCTCTTGTTTGGATGTGCTGCAGTTGTTTGCCTGTTCATCAGGTGATGGCCATTAAGGTTATTTTCTTTCTTGGCCAGTATTTATAATGCGTATAAAGGCCTCACTGTGCTGCCCAAGGGGGCCCTGACCCACTACGCTTGAGTGATCCTCTTGCCTCAGCCTCCTGAAATCTGGGCCAGCATATGTGCGCCGCCCCGCCTGGCTGTGTTAAAGTTTCTTGTGAACATTTGTTCTTTCTTTGGGGTTTGTACCCAGGAGCATAATTGCTGGGTCCTAGGGTAACACACTGTCCAGTTCCAGGAGACCTCTGCAGTTAACCTTCACCTTTGCTTCCCAGAGCAGCAGCGCGTTCCCCTCCGTCAGGGTGTGGGAGGGTTGCGGTGTCCCCAGCTCCTTCCCAGCACGCGCTGCCTTTCCTGGTGCGGCCGTGCTCGTGTGCAGCTGCGTGGCTGTCATCTGTAGTTGCTGTCAGCCAGTCTCCGCTGCTGCGGGAGCACTGGCGGCCTGAGCTCCTCCCCTCGAGGACTGGCTCGCTCGCTTCCCTTGCGCTTTTATGAAAGTAACCCTTTAGACCCTGGAAGTGCCGTCCCAGTGAAGTCATGGGTGTGGCTGCGTTGACCTGTGTGCTCTGTGCCTCAGAGGTCACCTTCGTCCCCGTGTCCAAGGTGAGCGGGCAGGCCGAGGCTGACGCCGTCCTGGCCGCCGTGCGCCCGACCACGTGCCTCGTGACCATCATGCTGGCCAACAACGAGACCGGCGTGGTCATGGTGAGCTGCCCGTCCCTCAGGGAGCCCGCGGGGGCCCGGGCTGCAGGCTGCTCGCGGCTCTCCGGCCCAGGCCTCTGCTCTGCTCGGTCTTGCCGCTCTCTGTCTGTCCTCGGAGCCCATTGCTGCCGTTCAGTCTTCCTCGCCCCAGCCGCACTCCAGCCCTTCGTCTCCCCGCGCAGCCCGTGTCTGAAATCAGCCGGCGCGTGAGAGCCCTGAGCCAGCAGCGCGCGGCCTCGGGGCTGCCCCGCGTGCTCCTGCACACGGACGCCGCGCAGGCGCTGGGGAAGAGGCGCGTGGACGTGGAGGACCTGGGCGTGGACTTCCTGACGATTGTGGGCCACAAGGTGGGTCTGCAGAGGCCACCGTAGAGCGGGCCCCGCAGCCCCCGATACCCGGAATGGTACCCGGAATGCCCACGTGAGCGAGGCCCTGGGGCCGGCTGACAGCGCGTCCCGCCCCGGTGCTCAGGAGCTCCCATGAGGCGCAGCAGCCGGGGTACCAGCGAGTGCAGCGAAGGGGACAGCGGGGGCCGGAGCCAAGTGGGGCGGGGCGGGGCGGTGTGAGCTCCACCGGGGAAGGTGTCAGCCCTCACGCAGCGCACAAGACAGGGCTGGAGAGACCATGGATGAGCTCGTGGCTCCTCCGTGTCAGCAGTGAGGTGAAGACTCTGGAAGCTTCTGCTCATCTTTCTGGCAGCTGATGAGCACCTGGATCTGTTCTGTGCTCTTTTTTTTTGTTTGATTAGGGTTTTTTTTTTTTGAGACCAAGTCCCCCCAACATAGTCCAGACTGGCTTGAAAGTCCCAGCAATCCTCCTGCTTCAGCCTCCAGAGTGCTGGGACTGCAGGTATGTGCCACCATGCCTGCCCTATGCTGATTTGAAGCAGTTCTTAGCCAGTCTCTGGAGGACTTCGGAGGTGTGCGTCACATCCCTTGGAGACGCAGACTCACACACGAAGAGGCCTGGCCGGTCTGCAGTTCCAGACCCTCTCTGCACACACTGCTGTGTGGCACGCTGGGAGCTCAGCCCACCACAGTGCCGGCACGAGAGTCTGCCTCTTGCCTGGGCTCCGCCCTGCGCCCAAGGCCGCCCTGACCCTGGCTGGGGAAAGCCAAGGGGCCGCAGGAAGCCGGGGGCCGTGGTTTGCCGAGCACATCATCCTGGAGCTCTGAGACGCAGCACGCAAACCGAGCAGGTCCCCAGAAAGTTCTCGGCCGGTAACCGGTGTTTCCTTCCAGTTCTACGGACCGAGGATCGGGGCGCTGTACGTGCGAGGGCTGGGCAAGCTGACGCCCCTGTACCCCATGCTGTTCGGAGGCGGACAGGAGCGGAACTTCAGGCCGGGGTAGGTGCACAGCCTGCAGGCTCTGCGCTGCCGCGTGCCCAGGGAGCAGTGGCGTCCTGCCGTTTCGCTGTCTCCTGGTGGCTCTGTGATGGCACAGTGCGGGTCCCCAGGGAGTCAGCCCGGCGCTGCGGCGGGTCGCACACTCAGCCCGCGGTGCGTGTCTCCCGCCCTAACTGCTTCCGGGGTCCCAGTCCGCTTATTTTGGGCCCTGGGGCTGTGTGGCTGCTGCGCCCTTCCTTGCAGAGCGCCCGGTCGCCTCTCTGAGCGCCCTGCACCCCATTACGGTACACACCGTGATTGCTAGTGGAGTCAGCTGGTACCAGCACCGCCCGGCCAGAGGGTGACCCGAGAGCAGCGCCGCGGGGGTTCCCTGGTGGCTGAGGACTCCTCTCATCGCCAGCCGCGGGGGGAGCGGTGTGCTGTGGCTCCCACTTCGGTCCACAGTCAGCTGTCATTGTTTGTTCTCCAGCCACCATGGAACTAAGCTATAAGCAAGTAACAGATGGTAGGAAGATTTCCCAAACACTTGAAACGGAGCGCACACTTGTGAGTGCGCTGAGTCCGAGGAAGTCGCGAGGGAATCGAATACATCGAGCTGAGCAGAGATGAAACCGCGGAGCACGTCAGGAGCTGGGGCAGCAGCGCGGAGGGGGGCGCAGGGCGGTGGACGGGCCGCCAGCAGGTGGCAGTCCCATAGCAGCACCGGAGAGGAGAGCGGCGTGCTCCCAAGGCGCAGAGCAGGGGAAGACACGAGCAGAGATGGTGAGGCTGACAACGTGTCAGAAGGAAAAGAAGTCTGCAAAGCCAACAGCTGGCTCTCGGGGGGTTAGAAGATTGTAGCGGGGTGTGACTGAGCGCTGAGCACTTGAAGAGCTCCAAGAGGTTCAGTCCCCAGAACTTAAAAAGGTGAGAGAGGGAGGGAGAAAGGAAAAAATTCAATAAAATCAACAGGCCTCTAGCAAAACTGACAGAGGAAGCAGGGGCTGGTGGCGCACACCTGTAATCCCTGTGCTTGAGAGGCTGAGGCAGGAGGATCGCTGCGAGTTCAAGGTTGGCATAGCTGTATAGCGAGAAGCTGTCTCAAAAACAAAACCTGACAGAGGGAAACAGGGCGCCACATCAGTAGCGAAGCGGGGCCTGCGGGCTTCCCTGAAGACCTCGCAGACAGCACAGGAGTGTCACAAACAACGCTGTGCATGTCAGATCGCCATGGAGGAAACAGACCTTTCTACCAAAACCACAAAGCACCACAGCTCTCTTATGGTGAAGTGGAGTGTTTTAGTAACTATAGTTATTTATAAGTCGAATCTGTAGCTTTTCAGCGCCCCCAGTAGCAGTTCCCAGCCCCGGAGTGTGTCGTTAGCGAATTCTACCAAAGGTTGCTAGAACCACCCCAGTTTCCGTGCGCTGTCTTTCAGAAAACAAGAGAACACTTCGCAGGTCATTTCATGGCACCAGCGCAGACCGTACAAAAACAGACAGCAGGTTAACATCCCTAACCTCGCGAACTCAGGTGCAGAAATCCTTTACAAATTGTCAGCAAGCTGAATTGAGCAACATGAGATATGTATGTACGTGGAGTGAGACCACGTGGAGTTTATCTCGGGGCTGAAAGGCTGGCTCAGTATTCGAAACCCAGCCCCGTAACTCACCACATGCGTTACTCAGCTCTCCACCACTGAGGTAGAGTCCCTGTCGCAAACAACTTCGAGGAGAAGAGGTATTGGGCTGAGGGTTTGTTGAGGTTTCGGTGACGGTCAGCTGGCTGCGGGGCAGGACGGCGGGGCGGAGGACAGCGGCTGGGCTCCTGGCTCCGGGAAGCAGAGAGAGCGAGGAAGTCCCGTCCTGCGCCTTCGGAGCACCTCAGCTGACCTCCTCCCCCACCTCTTACAGCCCTGCAGCTGTGACCTTATCCACGATTAACCGTCCCTTCATGAGGCTGCTGTTCTTGTGATTCAGTCATCCTAGAAACCCCAGCTCTGGACACAGGAGCCTTTTGGGAAACGCCTTCTCTCTACACCATAGCACCATAGAAAACAGGTTGGGTGAACGCAGAAAAATAACACAGTCGTATTATTTGATGCAGAAGAAGCACTTGAAGAAATCCAACTCCCCTTCATGTTAAAAGCTCTCAGAGTAGGGGCTGGGGATATAGCTCAGTGGCACAAGTGCCTGCCTGGCAAACACAAGGTCTTGAGTTCAATTCCCAGTACCTAAAAAAAAACCAGCTCTCAGAATAATAGGGTCACTGTGCATAGTCCGCACAATGCTGGATGTGTGCTGTGTCCTCACAACAGGAGGGCGGCGAGAAGTACAAGCAGACAGGTCCGAAAGGAAGAGGGGGCTGGAGGTGCAGCTCGAGCACACACGCCCCAGTCCAACCCCTGAGCCACAGGGGAGAAGTAGAAGTACCCTCAGCAGATCACGTGAGCCCCTAACCATGGGGAAAGTCCCGAGGGGTACACTAGAAAATGTCCAGAACTAATAAGTGAATGTAGCAAGGTCACAGGACACAGGATAAATATTTTTAAAGTCTTGTTTTTATATACTCATGAGCAGATAGACAATAGAATAAAAACCATTTGCAACAAAACAGATCTGAACAAACATACAGGAGTTACATGCTGCAGACGACACAGTGTGGATGAAAGAAATAAAAAATTAAATAAATGAGAGACATACTATGTTCATGGACTGGAAGATTCAACATAGTAAAGATGTCCCTTTTCTCCAAGTTGCAGTTCACACCTGACAGTTTCCACCATAGCTCTACTCACCATAGCGAGTAGATTAACAGGATGGCAGAGACCAGGAAGTGTGCCCAGGTGATTGTGACAGGGTGCTGGTCAGTGCAGTGAGGCAAGAACCCTTCATAGCTGCTGGCACCAGCAGACCTTGTTCGTAAAAGCCAGCCTTGGCCTAAGTCTCACACCTGATAAAATATTAATTGAAAGTAGGTCATGAAATTACATGTAAAGCATAAAATGTAAAATTAGAGGGGAAGAAACAGAGAACCATCAGGACCTGTGGCCAGACAGAGTTCTTGGCCTTGACACAAAAGTACCCGTGGTGTAAGATTTGGGTAAACTGGACTTCATCAAATGTAGGACTTGCTTTGTGAAAGACCTCACTAAGAGGATAAAGGACAGGCTAAATACTAGGAAAAAATGTTTTCAAGTGACAGCCCTGACAGGACTGCCACCTAGGATATATGAAGAACTCGGAAAAAGTCAGTGGACCAAAGATACTAACAGCTATTTCACCAAAGAAGAAAGCAGGTAGGCCACTCAGAGCGGCGTTACTAGGAAAATGCAGATCAGGCCGCAGGGGCTGTCGGCTGTCAGAACAGCTAAGGTGACGAGTGACCCAGTGCTGGGGACGCAGGGGACGCAAGGGGAAGGTCACCTTCTGGCCAGCGCGGAGCAGCCGGGGGCCCAAGAAAACGGTTCTGTCAGAACTTAAAATGAAGAAAAGCGTCAAGTTGATGTTGGTTCTTTCCTGCAGAGGAAGGCTGTGGGCTTTGGTGTGGTAGATGGGAGTGAGGAGCACCCGCCCCTCCTGCACACACGCGTGTGCACACGCACCAGCACATGCCTACCCTCCTGTGCTGGCGCCCGCGCTGCCTGTGCAGGGTGTTCTGCCCGCCCGCAGGGGCACGGCATCAGCCGTGAGCACCCCACGCCACTCCCCATGTGAGTGCACGGGAGGGCTAGGGTCCTGACAAGCGTCTGTCCACACCAGCCCGTGTCGCCCACGGGTGGACTCTGGGGCGGCCGCCAGAGGAGCGCGGTGCTGCCTGCACAGGAGAGGCATGTGGGCTCTTCACCACGCGGCTTTCCCACGGACAGGACGCCCCGCACGTGTCTCTCTGCATAACCCTTGTCTCCTGCAGGACGGAGAACACCCCGATGATCGCCGGCCTCGGGAAGGTAAGCCCGCAGCCCCACCCCGCCGCGCTGGCGGGGCCCAGGCTCTGGGAGAGCATGTTCGGACCTCAGGGACGGTGGACAAGGAGAAGCCTTGGGCTTCCTTGTCAGCCTGGAGAACCGCACTTGCTGAGACAGGGTGGGTGGCACCTGCTTAGCCTTTAAAGGGAATGGTATGCCGGGAGGCCGAGGCAGAGGATCCCAGCCCAGGGAACTTACTGACTTAGTAGTTTAATGGGACCCTGTCTCAAAATAAAAATTAAAATGAGCTGGGGGTATAGCTCAGAGAAGAGATCCTGGGCTCTATCCCCAGTACTGAAAAAAGGAAGTTTCTCTGTGCCAGTCTCTTCTGATGGCAGCACTGTCCTTGGCATACACAGGCCCATGGGCACATGTCCCTGCACCCCGGCTGCGCCCCCCGGGCTCCGTGGTATGGGAGGCCACCTCGGCCAAGTGCAACCCTGCCTCCTGCCTGCCAGTGGGGCCTTGCAGACTGCAGTGGCAGGAAGTTAGGCTGTGCCCTCGTGCCCAGGCCACCCTCCCTGGCTGCCACTCTGTCCCATGCCCACGTTCTCTCCCCATCTGCTGTTCTGCATCCCACCCTCCACCCTGGAGCAGCCAGGGGCTTGGCCTTGCCCGGCCAGAGAGCAGGATCTGGTTTGGCGCTGGCGGTTGAACACCCCAGCAGCGCTCTGCCCCAGCCACCCCGCCTCCTCACTCGCTGGCCAGCTGCTCCAGGTGTGACCGTGACGGAGGAGGCTGCTTCCTAGAGGCAGACAGAGCTGTACGTGGGGGCCGCACGCGATGGGGCAGTGGGACCCCCTCTTCGGAGTCCCTGGGCTCCCGGGACCAGCTCCCCGCCCTCGGGTGCTCGGTGCAGAGGCAGCACAGCGTCCCCAGCCCTCCCCCGCCCCACCCCTTCCCGGAGCCCCGGCCGCAGCTGCCCTGGGCTCCAGCCCCAGCGCAGGCTGCCCCTAGCAGCCACCTCACTCCCTCTGCAGCCTCCGTGCTGCGGCCTGCTGTCCTCTGCCCCAGTCTTTCTCTGTGTTTGGCGCCCGCTGGTGGCTCTGCCATCTACCTGCCCCTTGGCAGCACCCCCAACACGCACGCACGCACGCACGCCCGGCCCTGACCGCAGCACTGCCCGGGCTGGATTCCCCACCTCTCCCGGGCACCCTGGCCGCCATTGCTGCTGCAGGGTGACCTCCCCGGGGTCCCGCCCGCCCAGGCCTCCCCGCCGTCCAGGTCCTCACCGGACAGTCCTGCGAGACCCGTCGGCCCCTCCCTGTCCTGTCCCCTGTGCCTGACGCAGGCTCCGGAACACACCGCGGGGCTGCCACAGCCCCCGTGGCCCTCCCCCGCCCCTGCACGGTGGCCATGGTGACTTGGAAGTTGCTGACACGGCTCGGCCGTGTGGCCTCGAGGTCCCGTCACAGCTGTGGGTCCCTGTGGCCCGTGTCTGTCCCTCTCTGTGGCGCGCACGCGGCCTGAGGCGTGGGTTGCTCAGCCCCACGCGCCCAGTGTCTGGCAGCACTGACGCGAGTCCCCGTGGCAGCGCTGGTGGCGCCCGGCAAACGCGTGGTCTTGCTGGCCGGCAGGGCCCCACGCAGCTGCCCGCTGTGCTCAGCTCCACAGGCACTGAGCGGTCCCCCTGCGTCCCCAGGCCGCTGAGCTGGTGACCGAGAACTGTGAGGCTTACGAGGCCCACATGCGCGACGTCCGCGATTACCTGGAGGAGAGGCTGCAGGTGAGCGGCCTGGGTCGCGGGCGGGGACGGGAGGTGGGGGCCTGGTCGGGGACCAGGGGCGCCGCGGGGCCTGGACAGCGTGGAGGAGGAGCTCCGCCGAGGAAGGAGGAGGAGGGGCTCCGCGGGCAGAGGCAGAGTTCAGGCCCTGGCGGGCGTCGCTGCCGTGGCGGCGTCTCGGACACGGTCACACAGGGCCTCCTTTCGGTTCTGCAGGCTGAGTTTGGCAGGAAGCGAGTCCGCCTGAACAGCTGCTTTCCGGGGGCTGAGCGCCTTCCCAACACCTGCAACTTCTCCATCCACGGCCCCCAGCTCCAAGGTGAGCGCGCAGCCCGCCCGGCCTGCCCCGCGGACTCGGGCTCAGGCCCCGCTGGTGCCCGTGAGCAGTCTTGTCCCTGGGCCAGCTGGTTTGGGGTCCCGTGGCAGGCCGCTAGCCCCTGCCTTGCTGACCTCGCATGTCCACGAAGGCCAGAAGAGGGGACAGTGCTCAGGTCCCAGGCCGGCCGTGAGCTGCCAGGGAAGAAGGCAAACCACCGGCTCAGAGCAGCATGTCCAGTCCAGCAGCACCTCTGTGATGCTCCTCAGGGGAGGGCCCGGAGAGGCCGTGGGTCCTGACAGCTGGCTCACAGGGAGGGAAGGGTGCCAGACGTCACCTCTGAAGGGGCAGTTGGACCCCTCCTCGCCAACCAGAGGCCAGGGCCCACCCTGGGTCCCCTGTATGGGTGGCCGTGGCCCAGGAGGGGACACTCTGTGTGTCCTGGGACCCCTGTATCGGTGGCCGTGGCCCAGGGGAGGACACTCTGTGTGTCCTGGGTCCCCTGTATGGGTGGCCGTGGCCCAG